GCCGAGCATGTAGGCATGTGTCTGCAGGGCCTTTTGAGCCCACCAAGCCGCCTCCACCCGTTCCTGGATCTCCTGTCCTGCTGTTGCGCGATTGGGATTCGAGCTCGGGCGCTCCTGGGGAACGGTGTTCACGGACGGCTCTGGGTTCATGTCGATTAACCTTGCCCTCGGAAGGCGCGGGTGTTCGGTCCGGTGGCTGTCGGGGGAGGGGGCCCCTCTCTGCGCAGCCTTTGGAGGCCTAACTGGGTGCTTGCGACAGACGGTTAGGGGGCGCTGAGCGTTGGGGCGTTTTCGGGGCCAGGCAGGTTTGCCCTCCCTCGAGCTCACACGTCGGATTTGGCTTCGCTGGTGGCCGAAGGGCACGGCCGAGCGCGCTCTCGTCGGGAGCAGTTTTTGTCGCGCGGATCGAGAGACGGCAGGTGCCCCCGCCGTCGTCCGAGTGAGCGCCCTCGCACCTCGAGCTCGAAGCTGCGCCCTTCAACCCGAGAGTGCCGTTCCCGTGGGTCCTCGGCGATGCGCGGGCAGATCATGTTGCCAAGACTGGGGCCTCTGAGATTGCAGGTTCGCAGGGTCCTGCTTGCTGAGGCGCGCGAGGGAGCTCTCAAAGAGGCAACGCTGTTCTCGAAGTGTGTTTCTTGGGCAGCTGCCCGCGCAGTCGAATTGGGCACTTCCTCTGCGGCCCACTGGGCCCCCCACTTCGGTCCGACCTGTCAGCGTCACTGGCCGCGACCTTCGTTGGTTGGGCGCAGTCCAAAGGTGAGGTCCGCTGCAGATTTTGCAACATAGCGGCGCGCACGAAACGGACCTACGAAAACGTGTTCAGCACGCGTGCGAAGACGTGCGCGCCGTCGGAGTACCGCGTGCTCTGGCGGACAGTTAGTTTAGCCAGCTCAGTGCTGGCGGTGCGGTTGTTTGGGGGGCGTCATTCATGTCGTCGATTGGCATGGTCGCGATGCCCGACGGATCCGACGTGGCGGTGCCGCCGTTGCCTGCCCCGCCCGTGGCTTCCTCGTCGGCCCTGGACAGATCCCATGCCGTGGGCCACGATTGTGTTCAGACTGAGCTGGCCCATTGCTGCCAGCGCTGTGGTGCGTATCAGGTGGGGGCTGACAACGCCAATAATTTGCGGCCTGTTTGCAAAGGGGTGCCCAAGTCCAAGAGCTCCTTGGCGGGGGCGGCCATGCGCGTTCGGGGAACTCTGGCTAGCCGCCATCCTGTCTCCAACGTGGCGCCCTAAGACGGGGGGGCCCTCTTTCTCCTGCTCCTGCCCGTCCCACTTGGGCGCAGTGCGGGGGCGGCTTCGGTGGTCTCCCCTTTCTTGCGGGGAGGCACAGCCAGGTTGGTGCCCCGCGTGGGTGCCACTGGTGATGCCGTCCACCGCTGACTGGAGCGCGCCCAGTGTACTCCCGCGGTCAGAGCTCGCACGCAGGATGACTTCACTTCGGCAAGCGCGCAGTTGCTTCTGCCCCCCGGTCGTTTTCGGCCGCGCTTGCAATGGGCGCAGAAAAAATGCGCGGACGTAGCGGACTTTGCAAGGGGTCATGGCCCTGAGGTGGGGGGGGGGGCGGACGCAGCGTGCGTTATGAATGCGGGGCCCTGCCCCTGGAAGGTCCTCGACGGGCGCGGGGGTCCAGGCCGGGCCGGGGCGGGGTCCAGGCTGTGCTTCGCGGGCCTCGCTTGGGCTCCGACGGCTCCCGGTGGGGCGGGGCGTGGGGCACGGGCGGGGATTTGTCCACGTCCACCGCCTGGGAGATCGATGCTCGCGGAGCTCCACCGGCCGTGGGTATGGTTTGTTTCGGGCCCTCAGAGGCCAGAGTGTATCCTCATGGGCACAAGAACGTCGGTTCCCAGGCGATGGACGTGTATAGATTTCTGCCTCGCGATAGGGCGCGGGCGGGGAAGCCCTGGTCGAGGTCGAGCCGGGGTCTAGCGGGAGGTACAGGGCGCACCCCCCTTGCGGCTAAAAACGCGGGGGCGGGGAACCCTTCAGTAACGAATCGTGGGGGCGTGGTGCACCCGCTCAACTGCACCTTTAGCGTCGATTGGCGTCTGGAAGTCGATAAGATAGCGCAGATTTAGCGTCGGCTAGCGGCTTGCGTCGATTTAGCGTCGATTTAGCGTCGATGAGTGTTGACCAGCGTCGGTTATTGTCGATTCGCAAGATCCGACGCGATGGTGTGGGAGGCTCCCACGACGTGCCACCGAAGATTCCCTTCCCCCTCCCACCCCGGCAAAGCCACCCCGGCAGTCACACACAAATCATCCGAATCCTTCTCCCTCCCCTCTTCCCCCCCTCCCGCGCCCTTTTCCCCTTCCCTCCCTACCCCCCGTCCCTCACCCCCTTCTCGATCCTCCCTTCCCCGTCCCCCTCAACACAACTTTCCCTTGGGGAGCGCCCGCAAGCACCCGAACGCTCCCCAGAGACCTTCTGGGAGCTCTCCCGAGGGCATCCCCCCAAGGGCCCCCCCCGCTGGCGGTGGCGACGGGCCCAAACATGCGGCGTCGTTTTTTTTTTTCGGCCAAGTTCAGAGGTCTCTTAGAAACACCCTTGCTTCTGAAGGCGCGGGACCGATCTATAGATGCAAGGCCGGCGCCTTGAAGAAGCCGCCTCCTTCTAAGAAGCAACCCCCCTTCTCTTCATCCCCTTGTGCGCGCCGCCAATTTTCAGAGTGCCGCTCCGCAGAGGTCTGGACGCTTTCCCCGGGGGCCGGATTCTCTTCTTGCGTTTTTTTGTGACGGCCCCCGCGGCCCAGGGCCTTCGGAGGCCGAATGTAATTCGCCGAACGTTTCCCGTTGTTTTTTTTCACGACGCGGGGTTGTCTTTCGTTTTGTGGTGTCCAACCCGAACCCATCTTCCAGATCAGTTTTGGAGGTCGCCGCGGCGATCGCGGCAGCCGCAAATCATGCCCGTTCCCAGCCTCCGCCCCGCTCTGCGATGTGCGATGTAGACCTGGATCACAGTTAGCCGTACAGCAACAGACTTCTTTCAATCTATGTTCAGCATTGGCAGTCGTGTGTTCTCTTTGAGGATGGTAGACCAGTCCCCCAGTGCCACGCTCGAAGAGGGCCAACGGAATTATTGTTGCGATTAATAGCGAATTTGAAGAAGGATTGCGGATTGAAATGTGAGGATGTCCCGAGCGAAACGTTGGTTGTCGAAATTCCGATGGATCAAATCCAAGGTAAAGTACACATGTTCGTTAGTTGCGGATGTCTCGAGCGAAACGCTTGTGTTGCAGTATGTGTTGAGGATGTCTCGAACGAAACGTTTATTTTGTCTTACAGGCTGCGCTTCTCCTGGGGTGCAGAATTGAGAGGATCTCTCAGGCGAAATGTTTGTTTTTACGTGTCCAGGTCACCCAGGGGAGTCTCTAACATGGTTGTCCCTCGATGGAACCACACGTTTTTACATGCCCAGGTCACCCAGGGGGGGTTCTAAGTTGGTAGTCCCAGGCTTGAACCACGTGGTTTTACATGTCCAGGCCACCCAGTGGGGTATCCAACATGGTGGCCCCGAGCTGGAACCATGTGTATGTATGTGGCCAGGCCACCCAGGGGGGTATCTAGCATGACTGTCCCTAGCTAGAAGCACATGCTTGTTCATGTCCAGGCCGCCCAGGGAGGGGGGGGTATCTAAGATGTTTGTCTCCTGCCCCTCGCTGGAGCCACGTGCTGTAACATGTACCTATGCAGGTATCTAACATGGTGGCCCCTCGCTGGAACCACGCGTTTTCACACGTCCAGGCAGCCCAGGGGGGTATCCAACATGGTGGGCCTCTCGCTGGACCCACGCTTTTTCACCACGCGGGGTATCCAACACTTTGGCCCTGAGCTGGAACTTGTTGTTTCTGGGTGTGCGGGCCACCCACCGGGGTATCTAACATGTGGTCGTTTGGGCGCTCCCAGCGCGGGGGGCCCTCAAGAGCCAGACAAAATCAATACATTACCAGATGCTTGATTTTCGAACGCAGTTTCTTCGGCTGGTGATCTTCCAGATTTCCGAATGGAGTATCTAGCATGGTGGTCCCCAGCCAGAGCCACGTGTTTTCACGTGTCCAGGCCACCCTGCTGGATATCTAACATAGTGATCTCGAGCTGGAACCGCGGTCGCGGTCGTGGCCGTCCGCCCTCGTTGTCGTCGTCGGCGTTTCGGCCCACCCCTTTGGTCGCATCTCGCCTCGGTTCGGATTGGCCTTGATCATTTTGCCCTGTTGCGGAACAGAATCCAGAGGGTCTCGATTACAGTCAGCGTGGGGCGAGCAATGCGCCCAGGCAGCCCGAGCTTGAGGCCCAGCCCAGTTTTTGCAGGATTCGGATGCCAGGGAAGGTTTGATCCACGACGCAACAGGCACAGACCTGTTCATATTCGCCCACTTTCACTTTCGGTTCCTTCCGCTTTTGGAATGAATCGGATATTGAGCTTGATCTGGTCGAGCGCCCCGCGCGTTTCGATTGCGGTTAGATCTGAGTTATGCGTTCAGGAAGCTTGAACTTACGATCCAGATCAGTTCGATCGGGATCCTGACGCCACGGACGACCTGATCCGCAATGTAATAGAGAGCGCAGCGCTTCAGCGCGGCATGGCGCGTCTCAGGTCATGGCAGCGCAGCACAGCACAGTCCCTGGCACTGTACGTCGCCATCGCTGCCTGGAGCGTTGCAATTGCCCGTCGCCCACCTTTGGTGCCCAGAACAGTTTCCACGCCTCACATTTCCATATGCCTTTCCGGACTCGTGAGGAGGAGGAGGAGGAGGAGGAGGGGGAGGAGGAGGAGGAGAGGGAGGAGGGGAGGAGGAGAGGAGAGGAGGAGGAGGAGGAGGAGGAGAGGAGGAGGAGGAGGAAAGGAGGAGGAGGAGGAGGAGGAGGAGAGGAGGAGGAGGAGGAGGAGGAGGAGGAAGAGGAAGAGGGGGTCGATCGTGTCTTGGCTGGGGGGCGATCATCGGGCACCCGGCCCGGGGCGGCGACGCCGGGCCCCGGGCTGCGCGGCCTGGGCGCCGCAGGTGAGGGAGAACTTCGTCCAGGCGGCGGAGATGGGCTCCGAGGTCGTGGAGGGCCTGCGGCTCGAGAAGGCGCCTTGCAAGCAGTTTGGGCGTTGCGTAATGGAGGGGTCATAAATGGGGGGGTGGCGAGGGTGGTCCGAAAAGGTACCCGAACGGTACCTAAACGAGCCCCCTGGGGGTCCGGAGGGGCCCGAAAGGGGCACGAAAGGGGACCGTTTCTGACCCCCCCATTTATGACCCCCCCATGAAGCCACGCCCAAGCAGTGCCGAAGCGTCCTGTCGTGCCTACGAGCCTCTTGTGGTTTGCACTGCATGCTCTTGGAACAGCTCTTGTTTCGGCGGTCTTGCTTTGATGCATCGGCTTCATGTTCTGAGAACACACTTTGATTGGTTATGTTTTGGTGATGGTGAACATGTGTTGATTGGTTATTGTTTTTTTGTGATAGTGTTGCTGGAACGTTCCCTTGTTCTGCGGACGTTTTCCAAGGACGAGAACCGGCATGAGCATAAACTTTTGGAGTTCCGCGCGGATTTCCTGTATCGGCGCTGGGACCCCCTAGCGGCGCCTCCGGCGCCGCCCCTGGCGCGCTCAGGGTGGTCCAGCGCCGATCCATGAAATCTGCCCAAAGCTCCAAAAACTTATGTTTATGTTTTTTTTGTTCCTCTAAATCTGTGGTACAGTCACCCGCATAGTAAGGATGAGCAACTTCCCAAAAGGCTACCCTTACATCCTTGCTTCTTCGGCCCATCCTGAGCGACTTCCGCTGGCCAAGCTCCTTCGAAAAACGCCAAAGTGACCTTCCAATCGGGGAGACGTAAGACCCGAGTGCGCCGGAACTCAGGTTTGCCGACGCTTTTTGACGAGCGCGTCCTTGATTTTGCCTGTTCATTGTTCGTGGGATGTCTGCAGCGGGAGTTCGCGTCAAATTTCAGATCGGGTCTCGTCGTTTTCATGATGGCCTGTTACTCTCGGAGGGCTCTTTGGGAAGCTCCGTGGCCAACCGAGCTGTCTTGGAGCAGCCTTGTAGCCATCTTGGAGGCTCTTGTTTGAAGCTATCTTGGGCTGTCTGGGACCATCTTGGAGCCATCTCGACCTATCTTGGACGTTCCAACCCCTCGCGAACCAGACCCACGGGGAGCGGGTAGGGGGAGGAGGAACACCTCCCCGAAGGGGAAGAAGAGGGTTGACAGATCACGCTCCTTGAACCACTCACGCCCAGAGGGCTGGTGGGATTACCCCAGCATGAAGACCCTAACCAGCAACTCTGCATGATGATCGTTTTTTCATTCATTGTGTCGCCGATCGGCGCGAGCCATTGCACCTCGCAGAGGTCCGGAGCCAGAGTCCCCCCCCTCCCCCCCCCTTCGCTCAACGACGGACGAAACTCCGAAATGAGACAACGCTTATCCCATGTGCCTGAGAGCTGGGCACGGAGCGGGCGCACGCGGGCACGGCACACGGCACGCGCAGCAAGGAGAGGTCGGGAGCCAGAGTCCCCCCCCTCCCCTCCCCCCCCCTTCGCTCAGTGCCGCAGCGCCGAACCAGAAGACCACGCGTTTGTCCCTTGTGCTCGCGAGAGCTGGGCACGGAGTGGGCGCACGCGGGCATGGCACACGGCACGCGCAGGAGGAGGAGGAGGAGGAGGAGGCGGAGGAGGAGGAGGAGGCGCACGCGGGCATGGCACACGGCACGCGCAGGAGGAGGAGGAGGAGGAGGAGGAGGAGGAGGAGGAGGAGGTTCGGCACCACGGGGTTCGGGGTTCGGGCGGCAGAGGTCTGGCAGCCTGGGAGGCGAGACGCGAGGTGGCCTCGATGCGAGGCGCCTGGAACAGCGACGGTGCACGAGAAGGTACCCGGTGAGCCGATAGCGACACGAGAGAGAGCGTGCACGGCCCGGCACGCGGGCACGGCACGGCACTGCACGCGGGCATGGCCCGCGGGCGTGGCACGCGGGCGCGGCACGCGGGCATGGCACGGGATGCGGGCGGTGCGTGCTTCGATCGCATGCCAGACCGCAGGCACGGCACGGCACGCGGGCACGGCACAGCACGGCAATTCGGGCGGCCCGTGCCTCGAATGTTCCCATTCAGAAGCTCGTTCTCTGAAGGCAATCGACATGTGTGCTGCCTTCGCTGTCCAGGGAGCGGACAGATAGCGGCTGCCGCGAGGTGGTTACCTTGGTTGACACCTCCACGTTCTGCACCGACTACATGGAGTACAAGAAGCTGCTCGAGAGGCATCACCCAGAACCACCGACCTCCAGTCGCCGCGAGAGGAGCACACGACGGACTCTACTTCCCAATTTGTCCAGGTCGGGATCTTCTAGGGGCCCACGTCACGAGAAAGTCACAAGCACCACGACGTAGGGGGTCTAGGACCGATGTGCCGTGGGATGTGGCTCACCTCACCAATTCCATTTCTCTGAGACGATGGGGCGATGGGGAGCATTCCTTTGACATGGGGAGGGCGAGGGGAGGGGGACGGGGGCGGGCGACGTGAGTAGGCGGGGGAGGGGGAGGACGGATACGGGGGTAGGCGGAAGGGGAACAGAACCAGAAGGTGAGTGCGGAGTAGGGCGGATATGAGGATGGATGTGGAATGCTTGAAGGAGGACGGCTGGAGTTAGCTGGTGTGCAAACGGGACAGTTTTCCATGAGCAGATCTCGCGTGAGGCCTCGTGCCCCCTGGTGACCGCGGGCTTACCGTTGGGGGTGACGCCGCGGGCTTACCGTTGGGGGTGCCCCTACTCCCCGCCGGCAAACGACTCCCCCTCCTCTCCTCCCTCACTCCTGATGGGGGACTGTGGTGGGGACAGTGGTGGGGACGGTGGTGGGGGTGGTTGTGGGGACGGTGGGGGCAGTGGGAAAGTGGAGACACTGGGGACAGCGGGACAGTGGGACAGTGGGGAAACGATTCCCCCTCCTCACCCACTCCGGATGGGCGACTGTGGTGGGGACAGTGTTGGGGGCGGTGGTGAGGATGGTGGTGGGGACGGTGGGGACAGTGGGGCAGTGAGGACTGGGCACATTGGGGACAGTGGGACAGTGGGGACAGTGGGACAGTGGGACAGAGGGGACAGTGGAAAAGTGGGACAATGGGACAGTGGTACAGTGGACAGCGGGAGCAGTGAGGATATTGGAGACAATGGGACAGTGGGGACAGTGGGGCACTGGGGACAGTGGGACAACCCCTCTTCAGTTGGACCCCCTTTTGGGTCACCCAAAGAGAGGTGAGAGCGGGGCAAGCGCGGATCAAGCAGTGGCGAAGCGTCCTGGTTCGCCTATGGTCCCACTAGATAATGTTCTGAGAGCCTTTTGTGGTCTGCACGACGTGTTCTTAGAGCATGTCTGGCTGAAACTGTCCTGTTTTAGCACAGCGGGTCTATGTTCGAAGAACATGTTTTCTTTATTAGAACGTTTTGGGGTTCTAAGAATATGTCGCTGTGGGTTTATAAGACTGCTGGGACGGTCAGTCCCTGCTCAAGCGGAGCCACGTAGGTTCCTAACGCCCCCGAGTGGGCCACGCGAGAGGAAACGTGGGCTCCTAGCGCCCCAGCGCGGGGCAAGCATCGAGACACATGGGTTCCCAACGCCCCAGAGCGGGACACACGTGGACACACGTGTGTGCCTGACGCCTCAGAGCGGGACACGCGTGAAACACATGGGTTCCTGACGGTCCAGAGCGGGGCAAGCGTGGAACCACATGGGTTTCTAACGCCGCACAGCGGGAGATGCGTGAAAATGGTTCCTTGGCGTTCCCTGCCCGTTCCGTGGCGCGTCTCTTGCCACGTCCCCTGACACGTCCCTTGGCGTATCCCCCAGTGCGCACCTGGCACCTCCCTTGGGGCGTCCATGCGCCCTGCGCCCCCGTATCGTCTCGTCCCGCTTCGGAACCGAATCGGATCTTGAGCTCGAGCTGATTGAGCGTCCAACACGTTCTGGTTGCAACCAGCCCTGGGCCAGCTATTCGCTCAGGCAGCTCGAGCTCAAGATCTGGATCAAGTCGGTCAGGACTCGGATTCCAAGGGCGACGTTATCCACAACGCTACAGAGCACGACGCAGTTCATCGCGGCATTCAGTACTGCACGGTACAGTAATAACCTCGAGCACGGTACGTTACCATCGATGCATTCAGCATTGCCGCGCATATCGCGCTGCGCGTCCCCTGGCACGTCCACTGGCGCGTTCCGTGTCGCGTCCCCTGGCACGTCATTGTGCGGCGCGGCACAGCGCACAGCAGCACAACACAGCCCCTGGCACAGCATCGTCACCGTGCATATCTTCAGTACCTTCAGTACTGCTGCTACCCATCGCCCATCGCACAGTGTCATTCACGAGAGATCGTGATCCTCGGGCACGTTCCCCTGGCACTTTCCTTGGAATAGCTCGGACGTGTGCACTTTTTTCGGCGGGGATCATTGAGGAGCATCCTAGATCATCCTGCGAAAAAACCACGCAAGAAACCGAAACACCACAGGGAATGGACGTCCGAGCGATGGCCAGTTTCCCTGCTGCCTCCCCATTGGCACGTCGCGCGGCGTGTCCCCCGGCACTGTATGTTCCTCGGCACGTCCCAGTGGCACGTCCGCGGGCACATCCCGTGGCGCGTCTACACGGCACGCTCCGTGGCGCGTCTCCCGTGGCACGTCCCCCTTGGCTCGGGGGTGGACAGAACCCCCAACAGTGACACGTGTCGATTTGTGAACTGTCCGTTTTCGGTTCTCGAGAGGCTTGCGCCCGCCAGGTTTGGGCCTCAGGTCGTTCTCACTAAACCACGTTTTACTAAAGGGGGGTCTGTCCATCCCCGATTGGCACATCGAGCGGTGCGTTCCCTGGCACGTCCACTGGCGCGTTCGGTGGCGCGTCCCCTGGCACGTCACTGAGCGGCGCGGCAGAGTGCAGAGAAGCACAGCACAGTTCCACGGCACTCTGACGTCACCATCGATGTCTTCAGCATTGCCACCGCCCATCGCCCAATTGAGGTGCTCGCAGTTTAAAATCCCTTTGCGGGTTTGTGGATCGATCATGTTGCACGAAGCGGTAAGGATTCCCTCCGACCCATCCCACCCCAGGGGGTTCAACAAATCCTAAGAACCCGCACGAAGATGAGGAATGGGATGAGAACAGGGAGGAAGCCGAACCCGGGAGGGGGGGTCGGTGAAGGGGGCTGAATAAGTCAGCGCCCTCGTGGTGATGCAACAAGACCACGACACCCAACAACATTGAGAACAAGCAGCCGCGTGTTGCGATTGATAAGTCCTCTGGTGCACCAGCGCGGTCAAAGAGGGTATGGTTGACAAATAAATGCTATGGTGTGCAATGCCAGGGTGAGCGCCCGGCCTGGAAGCATGGATAGGTCGGTACTCACAAGTATTTATATATCTGTTTGTGTGCCGGCATGGTGGAAGAGGGCACGGTGAACAAATCTTTTGGTGCGCAATGCCAGGGTGAATACGGCGCTTGAAAGCACGGATAGGTCTCAGCACACAATGTAACATTCCAGGACGTTGTTCGCCATCTTCTTTCGCCAAAGCGCATTAAACCCTCGACACCCAGCAGGAGACGGTCATCTTAGTGGCACTCTCGTCGCAAACGTCGTGAGGGAATTCGGCGTGGTCGCAGGACTCGTCGCCGACGGATAATTAAGAGCAAGGTGGCCGCGTACGCCGCATCGCAGCGGGCACAGTCGGCCCAACGGAGCCCTACGGTGGCTCCTGGAACGGCCGCTGCCCCTATGGTGGGAAGGGGGGTCCGCTCCATGTCACGGGCCCCATGGTGGCCCGTGCCCGTGTCCCGCGGCCGTGCCTTCTGGTAGCTCCAGCTTCTGCTCCTACGATCCCGTGGACCCGCAGAGCGATCATTACGAAGATCCCCCCTGCCACTATTTTGCTCGCGGAAGCCTCCCGGCCCGTCATGGCGAATAGGCCGCTCGGGTTGCGCCTCACGGAGCAGAGGCAAGCTACCTGGAGGAGCCCGAAAGGGCGGCAAACACATAAGAGGACTATGGAACCCTTCCCCCCTCCCCCTCCCAGATTCCATGAATTCATTGAAGTCAGTGTCGATGCACCGGACGGCGGGCAGGGGATACAAGTTCCGATCACGGCCCAGACTGGAGAAACGTTAGAGGATCGAGCTGAAAAGTTCATTGACTGTGAGACAGACGTGAATGGTGGAGGACATTTGGTGTACTGCCGTGGGGTCTTGTTTTTCTTGCATTGCCCACACCTGGTTCTTGAAGGACCTGCGGTGTCCTTCAGCGCCCCCCCCCCGTCCCGTCCACAGGGACTTCTCGCCCCCCCTGCGGTGGGGAGGTTGGTGGACGGGCCGACCCCCCCCCCCCCCCCCTGGCGTCGACGTAGCTGCTTGCGGCAAGTCCGCCACCGTTCCAGCCCAGCAGTCTGGGTGGCGACTGTTCGAGGAGAGCGAGGCAAGGAGGAGGAAACGAGAATGGAGGGATGCAAGATGCAAGATGGACGGAGGAGGATGGGGTGCTGAGAGGAGACTCGGCAGAAGTGGGAGGAGAGAGGAGCAATGAGTTCGGCAAGCTGACCCTGACGTGCGGGCCGGCCCTGACATGCGGGCCGCTCGGGCGGGCGGACGGGCGCGCGTCGGGCGGGTGGACCCGTCGGGTGGGTCGGGCGGGACACTGAAACGGGCGGGCGTGCCGCCAAGCTGGCGAACGGGTGGGCCCTGATGGGCGGATCGGGCGGACGAGTCCTAACGGGCGGGTCGGGCGGGCAGGGCGGTGAGGCAAATGCCGTAAGCTGTGAGGAGCTTTCGGGCGAGAGCACGAGTCTGGAGCAGATGGTGAGGAGGTTTTGTGCGAGGGCGCGATTCCTGACGTCGAGAGTGCAGCGACCCTGCAGATTGCCAGGACGTCCTGCGCGAGAGCGCCATTCCTGATTGAGTTGTGAGGAAGTCTCGGTAGCGATCGCGACTGTGAATACATTGCGCAGTAGTATCCGGCGGGAGCCGTAGTTGCCGTAAGCTGGGGGCCAGGGGCGCAATTTGAGCCTCATTACATTCCTTGATTAGAAGCCGGGTGCGAGCCCGGGGGGAAGCACCCCAATAAAAAAAATGCAATGGGCATTGGATGGGGGGGATCAACATTTCTGGTCTGATGGCCTTCGTCCATCCCGCCACCGTACCTGGGCTGTGGTTCAGAGGCCTCTTGGATGAATATGGGGGCTCTTGCAGCCTCTCCCTGGCCGGGGTCAGTCACAGACAAATCTAATCCCCGTTTTATTTCCATGTCATCATTCCGCCTCCTCCCTGCATGCCTCTCCTCCTCCTCCTCCTCCTCCTCCTCCTCCTCCTCCTCCTCCTCCTCCTCCCCCTCTCCTCGCCCTCCTCTTCTTTACTCGTCCTTGCCCTGCCTTCCCCTCTCTCTTCTCCCTCCTTTTCCTTTCTGCCTCCCCCCCCCTCCCTCCCTCTCCCCCCTTCCCGCCTCATCCTCCCTCTCCTCACTTGTCCTTCCTCCTCCCCCACATCTCGCAGCCCGCGGTGCGCTCCACGGCCCCGCCTCCCGCCTGGCGGCGGCACCGCCTAAGAGGCCCGACCTAGTCGAGGACGACGGGGGGGCCAGCTTCGAGGCCGCCGTGCCGCCTTGTCGTCGTCGTCGTCGTCGTCGTTGTCGTCGTCGTCGTCGTCGTCGTTGTGGTCGGGCGGGCGGGCGGGCGGGCGGTCGGTCGGTCGGTCGGCGGCGTCGTCGGTGTGGGCCGTCGTCGGTATCGCTCGGCGTCGTCTTCGTCGGCGGGCGTTGTCGGCGGCACGAGGGCGCGGCGGGCGACGGCGACGATGGCGGCTGTTCGTATAGGGCCACGAAACGTGTTAAGGGTGTGCCAAAGTGGGGTGGTGGCGGCATGCGGGCGCAACCACTGGGGCCTTAGCTGGGTAGTTGGGCCTTAGGTGGACCCCACATGGGGCCACGAAAAGTGCGAGGGGTGCTCCAAAGTGGGGCGGTGGCAGTATGCCGGCGCCACCACTTGGCCTCCAGGTGGAGCTCCCTATGGGGCCACGAAGCGTGTGAGGGGTGTGCCAAAGTAGGGTGGTGGCGGCATGGTGGCGCAACTGGTTGGGCCTCAACTGGAACTCCTTATGGGGCCACGAAACGTGTGAGGGGTGCGCCACTGTGGGGTGGTGGCGGCATGCGGGCGCAACCACAGCGGCCTTCGGTGGGTTCCCTATGGGGTCACGAAATGTGTGAGAGGTGCGCCAACGTGCGGTGGTGGCGGTATGCGGGCGCAGCAATCTGGTCCTTCGGTGGAGCTCCCGATGTGGCGGCCACGAACGTGTGAGGGGTGTGCCAAAGTGGGGCGTGGGCGGCATGCGAGCGCAGCCACCTGAGCCTTAGGTGGAGCATGCGGAGGGCAGAGGCAGCGGATGTGACAATCGGGGCGAGGAAGGAGGGAAGGATAGAGGCGGCCTGGCGCTGCTACGGGCACATGGTAGCTAAGTGAGGGGGACGGCAGCGACGAAGAACGGCTCGTACCAAGAAGTGCGGCCCGCGCTGCGGTGAGAGCACCATTCCAAACGGCGGAAGCGAAACACCGATCCTGAAGTGAAGGCAGGGCTTCAGTGGGACAACAGGGGCGCCCTCGAGGGCGCGACGTTGTTCGCGCTTCGCGCTGGTTCCGATTCCTCCTCCTCCTCCTCCTCCTGCCCCCTGGGGGGCGGCGCGGGAGCGCGAAGTTGCTCGTGCTGCAGGGCGTCCCGATGGAAAAGCCGCACGGCCAGGGGACGGCTCGGCCGTGCCCGCCGTGCCTCCTGCCAGGGGGCGGCGGCACGTCGCGGGCGGGGCGCGGGACGAGGAGAAGTCAGCTCCAGAGCGCTCAAGCAGGGCATCGGTTGCAGCATGGGTCTGCCCCGAGCGCAGTCTCGTCGAATCTACGAGCGTGCGTCGAAGCTACTGCAGATCCACGGAGCATTCTGCGTTTTTTTTTTTTTTTTTTTTTTTTTTTTTTTTTTTTTTTTTTTTTTTTTTTTTTTTTTTTTTTTTTTTTTTATATATATATATATATATATATATATATATATAACAACTATATATATATATATATTCGTCGAGTCGACAAAGACATCGATTCTGGGGCAAATCAATTCTGTAGGCGATATCCCAGTCGCGGTTTTCCAGAACGCTCTCAGAGCGTTCTGGCACGCTCTGAAAGGGCCGCTGCGCCCGGTGCGTCCTCCAGAGCCGCCGGATCTCAAGATGCCTCGAGCCATCCTCACCCGAATGCGGCCTCGTCCTGGCTCAGTCTTCGCCTCCCCTCCTCTTGCGCGAGGAGGGAAGCGGGTCCTCTGAGGGCAGCGGGTCCCCGTGGGCGAAGACAGTCGGCATCCGCAGGCCCCTTCGCGTCGTGACAACAATCGCGGCGGGAGTTTTGTTATCTGGTATTCGTATTGTTGGTCTCTGGGGGCCTCCGCCGGGCCCTGCGAGGAGGAGGAGGAGGAGGAGGAGGAGGAGGAGGAGGAGGACGACTTGGGACGAACCGTTCCTGGGGGGAAGCGGGCTTTTCGTGTGCGAGGAACATTCGAGCAGGGAGAAAGCGCGTTTCGCGGGCGGTTGCTTTGAAAAGATGCTCCCCCCCGGAAGCATTCAGTCAGGCGGGTTCCTCTACAGGAGGAATATTCAAAAATAGTAAAAAATAGTCTGGGGACGATTTTTGTAGTAAAGTACTTTTATGGTTTTCCATCTCAAATCCGCCTGTAGGGGGACATGCCCGACCTAACGGAAGCCCTCGGGGGAGGGCGTAATCTGCCCCCCGGGTTCGAACCCGGGGGGGGGTGACCCCCTGTTCTCGCACCCGCCCCCAAGGTTCGACCCTTGGGGGTGCGGGCGGCGACGACGACGACGACGACGACAGTGACGACGACGACAGCGATGACGACGAAGACGACGGCAACAGGGACGACGGCAACAGCGAATGCAACTTCGACGACGAGGACGCGCCGACGACGACGACGATGCCGACGCCGACGCCGACGACGACGCCGAGCACGACGCTGACGCCGACGCTGACGACGATGACGACGACGACGTTGACTGTGACGACGCCGGCGACGTCGACGACGACGCCGAGCACGACGCCGAGCACGATGCCGACGACGCCGAACACGACGCCGACGACGACGATGCCGAACACGACGCCGGACACGGTGCCGATCACGACGCCGATCACGATGACGACGTCGACGACGACGACGACGACGCCAGCGCTGACGCCGACGCCGACGCCGATGCCGACGACGATGACGCCGACGCCGACGCCGACGCCGACAGCACGACGCCGAGCGCGTCGCCGACGCCGACGCCACCGACGACGACGCCGACGCCCACTCCGACGCCGAACGACGCCGACGCCGACGCCGCCGAATGACGTCTCCGAGCACGAAGTCAACGCAGAGCACGACGCCGAGGAAACGCTGGCGACGACGACGAGAACGACGCCGAGCACGACGCCGAGCACGGTGCCGAGGACGATGCCTACAGCGACGCCGACGCCGCCGCCGATGCCGACGCCGACGACGACGCCGACGCCGACAACGACGCCGACGCCCAGCACGTCGCCGAGCACGACGCCGACGACGCTGACGCCGACAACGACGCAGTCGCCGACGCCGACGCCGACCACGCCGAGCACGACGCCGAGCAAGACGACGACGACAAAGACGACGACGCCGACGCCGACGCCGCCGACGGCGCCGAGCACGACGCCGAGCACGACGCTGAGCACGACGCCGAGCACGACGCCGACGCCGACAACGACGCCGACGCTGGCGCCGACGCCGACGCCGACGCCGACAACTCTGCCGACGCCGAGCTCGACGCGTAGCTTGACTCCGAGCACGACGCCGACGACGCCGAAGCCGATAACGACGCCGTCGCCGACGCCGACGCTGACCACGCTGAGCACGACGCCGAACACGACCCCGAGCACGACGCCGAGCACGACGCCGACGACATCGACGACGACGCCGACGACACCGACGACGACGACGCCAAGCTCGACGCCGACCCTGACGCTGGCGACGACGACGACGACGCCGATCACGATTTCGAGCACGACGCCGAGCACGACGCCGAGCGCGACGCCGACGACGTCAACGGCGACGACGAGCACGACGCCGAGCATGACGCCGATGATGCCGATGCCAACAGCGACGCCGACGCCGACGCTGGCGACGACGACGACGACGACGACTCCGACCACGCGGAGATCGGCGCCGACAACAACGCCGACAATCACGCTAGCGCCGAGGCTGGCGACAACGACGCCGACCACGCCGAGAAAGACGCCGAGCACGACGCCGACAACGGCGCTTGCTCCGACGCCGACGCCGATGCCAACGATGACGACGACGGCGCCCTGCGCCCAGGCCGACACCGACGCCGACTCCGACGCCAGCGCCGATACCAACGCCGACGCCGACGTCGACGACGACGGCGACGACGACGCCGACGCCGACGCCGATACCAACGCCGACGCCGACGTCGACGACGACGGCGACGACGACGACGCCGACGCCGCCGATGATGATGCCGACAACGACGCCAAGCACGACGCCGACGCCGGCGCCGGCGCGGGCGCTGACGACGACGACGCCGAGCACGACGCCGTCGTTGTCGCCCCCCAGCCGGTTCCGAACCCTGTGGGGCCCTACAAGCGATCAAGCGCTCTTTCCGAGTAGCAGATCGACTACAACAGAGTCGATGTACCCCGAAATCGCTCGTCGTCGGATCTACGAACAGGGACGCAGCACGCCACGTAGATCTTCGGAGCATTCTGTGTCTTTCTGTTTGCTGACTCGCCGAACAGGTAAAATTGTGGGGCACTCGTACTCTGTGTCCCTGTAGTACCTGTAGTCCGGGGGAGGGTACCTGTAGTCCGGGGGAGGGGTACCTGTAGTCCAGGGGGGGGTACCAGTAGTCCAGGGTGGGGTACCTGTAGTCTGGGGGAAGGGTACCTGTAGTCCAGGGGGGGTTCTTGCAGTTTGGTGGGGAACGCGTGTTCACGCGTCAACGCACGCGTGGATGTAGTCCTGTGGGGGTACCTGTAGTCCCAGGGGGGGGTCCTGTAGTTTGGGGAAGGGGTACCTGTAGTTCGGGGAGGGGGTACCTGCTGTCCGGGTACCTTTAGTCCGGGGACCCCGAACTTTTGAGGGACACAGAGTAATTCAATTTTGCAGTCGATCTCTTCCTCGAGAAACGGGTTCTCATGGGCGAAGACAACATTCGCATCCATCCGCGGCTTCGCGGGCTGGGCTCCTTGGCCGCGACCCCGATGATGCGGGGCGTTTCTGCTCAGATGCCCCGCGCTGAACGCAAACCGTGCGACTGCGTATCCGCGGGATCGCGCCCCGGAATCCAGACCGCAAGGGCGCGTAGCCGCGGAATCGCGTCCACGGATGTGTTCGGCGCTCGACGGAAGAGGCTCGCTCTCGCCCTGCAGATCAAAAAGTGTTTGCCGCTCGTGAGAATCCTGAGGTTTTTTATTGCTTTGGAGCTCTTGGGGTCCCCCATTCTACTTGGGACTGTCAGAAAACGACTCAGGACGAGAAGCTGGTCCTGAGGAAAGGCCCTGGGGTCAAGGGCCCGTTTCCCTCAGGACCCGCGTCCATCGTGCCAGTCCTCCTGGTTTGCTGTTCCCTTCCTCCTGCTTCTGCCTGGTCCTTCTCCCGCTCGGGATCGGTATCCCTGCGAAGCTGCTGCTGCTCACTGGTGCCGACCTGTGCTGGCGCTGACACTCTGAGTCCCGCGAGGAGGCTGGTCCGTCCTGGCCGCGCTGGGACCTGGTGCTCCACCCCTCCACATCCTCAGAGTGACCTTTGGTGCGCGGTTTTTGGCGGGGCGCGGGAGGGCCAAACCGATACGCACAGGCCGTAGTTGTCGCGCCGCATGCAGCGATCGGCGGGCCGCGCACCAAAGGTCACTCTTGCCTAGGGTCACTCTTGCGCGTAGCCGACCGTTGGCTGCTGCCGCTGGTACCTTGAGATCCGGAGTTGCAAGACACATGCAACATCGCAACATGTGACGACCCCAGCCCCGGATTCCATCTGTCTGTTTCATTTTTCGAGCCACATCGATCCGTGAGGGTCCCGAAGCCGCGCGAAAATTCTGATGTGAGAAATTGCAACGCCAGGATCTCAAGCTCTTCACTCAGTATTCACTTTCTGGCCGAGCCCTCTGCGGGCGCGTGGGGCTGGGCGCGCGCGCGTTAGTATAGACCCGAGCAATCTCTTTGGGTGGAGGGCAAAGAGTGGAATCTGAGATGCTGTTGTTTCGATGGATCTTCGAGGCTTGAATCTGCAAAGGGTGAAACACCAAACGGGCTGATTCTTTCGGTGCACGAGCACACTTGGATTTCACCCTGAGCCCTCCACCCTAAGAAAATGCTCAGTGGACGGCCATGGGCGCTGCCAGTCGGAGGGCCGCAGGCCGCCTCGGAGCAGGCCTCGCCGCCGCTGCTGGCGCGCTCGCGCTTGCGCCTGGGCCCCGCGGCGTGCTGCCCCGAGCGCTGCGCAGCGCGCGTGCCGGCGCGCCATCAGCGCTGCCTCGAGATCCGGGAGCTGCGATGCTTCAAGCAGTGGCGAAGCGTCCTGGCTCGCCTATAGGCCCACGGAGAAATGTTCTAAGAACCTTCTGTGGTTTTCACGGAATGTTCTTAGAACCGTTCTGGCTGAGTCTGTCCTGTTTTCGCACATCGAGTTTATGCTCTCAGAACGTTGTCTTTGTTTTTAGAACCTGTCTGGGCTCTGACAGCATCTCGTGGTGGGCCTGCAGAACTGCTCGGACGGTCGGTCCCTGCTCAAATGTTTTGGCTCGGGGCGTGTTCGCCCAGCTGCTTGGGGAGGGGAATCAGAGTTTTGACACCGTTGCTCGTCCGCTTGGCATCGCTCGGACGTGTGCATTTTTTTCTCGGCGAGGAGCATCTAGGAGCATCCTTGATCATTCGGCGAAAAAACCACGCACGAAACTGAAAAAAACACAGGGAATGGACGTCCAAGCGATGGCGAGGCTGGAGAGCCCTCGTCGGGACGGTTGGCGGATCCTCAGACATTCCAGTCTGAACGCGCCCCACGAACGGTCTGGGGAGCAGCGGTGTTGGCACCTTTTTCCCCCTCAGGCTGTGGGCACCCAGGGCCGTCACGGACGGGTGTGGCTCGAGGAGTTCCGACGGAAGCTCGGGTCGAGGGTTGAGGGCTTGGGCCGCGTTTTTGCACGATGTTGCTGTTTTTGGTCGAGGGCCCTGTCGACCAAAAAACAAGAGACACCACCCGACCCAATTACGGCCCTCCATGTTGCGCCACGGCCCACCTGGGCCGTGGCGCACACCACGCAGAGACCCACGCCAGATCTCCTGGTATACGCTAAGCCCCGTGGGGCCGTAGGTGTGGTTGTGGTGGTTGTGGTGATGATGGTGGTGATGACGATGATGATGATGATGATGGTGGTGGTGATGCCGATGCTGATGATGCTGATGATGATGCGCATTGTTTGTTTTCTGGTCCACTCTGGTCGTGCTTCTGCACGATGCTGCAGGGACCTCAGGGTGGCGTCGGACCTCAGGGTGTCTCTGGTGCGCGCGCCCCTCGCCCTCGCCCAGGTGCGTCCGGGGCCGGCGCAGGGCGTCGGAGGAGGGGCATGGGCGGACAGCGTCGGCTCTCGGCTCTTCCCGAACAGCGTTTCGCTCGACAGTTTGCTTGGCTTGAATTTGTGTCGCTCTGTGCGGCCTGCCGCGAAGTGGGAAGACGTTGTGGCCGCGTCCTCCTCCCATACTTGCAGAAAAGCGGCCGCAGAAGAGTCCCACAGGGGGGACGGGAGCCCAAGGGCGCCCTGTCCGGCAGCCGTCTCGCCCTCATATCTTGTGACGGAGTCGTGCTCTCGCCTCCTGGCTACGTGTTTGGTCCGGACGGCCCCGATCCCTGGTAAAAAACAGTCGAGGCTACACCAACAGTGGCGCACGTGGCCTTGTCTTGACCTCTTACTCCTCGACCCCGCTCTTCACCTTTGCTGCTACTGGGGTGGTTTGCTAAGTTTGTCGTTCTTCTGGGGGCTCCGGGGGGGTTCTCGTGGTCAGCGTGGAGCCCGGGGAGGTCCGCGGACCGTTTCCGAGCGGAGCTGGGCCGTGCGGGAGAGCCGCTGAGCGGCGCAAGAACACGGGGCCGACTAAGCGGACATCGGCGCGTTAGGTGCTCGCGTGACGTTGCCTTGACAAGCGCTCTCGTTTCCACTGCCGCGTGCAGCGCCGGCGGCCCGCGTAAGGCCACCGCGGCGTAAGGTCGCTGCGATTTGCCATGTCTCAGGAGGGAAAGAAACGCACAGCCACAATGAATCCTCAAATCCACAGAAAATACAGGAAAACATGGGAAGTGTGGGGGGGGGAGACAGACACCCAGAAAATATGGGGAAACATGGGGCGTCGTTTTGTTTGCGTGTATTTAGATGTGTGTCCTTGGGCCCCTTGAATGTCATCCTGCGTAAGACCCGTTTCGAATGTTTCGTCGCTCCCTTGGCCCTCCTCCGAACGCGGGCGCGATGACCGTGCCGCTGCGCGCCGCTCCAGGCGCGTGCGCGGGGCCCCCTGCGGGGTCCGCGCGCGGGGGGCCCCGCGGGGGCCGCGCGGAGGCCCCTCGGTGCCCAGACCTCTGGCGCCGTGAGTTTTCGTTCGTGGTGTCGACCCGATCCCCGGGACCGCTCTCTCATTCCGAGTAGCTGCTCGTCGGGGGAGGAGGAGGAGGAGGAGGAGGAGGAGGAGGAGGAGGAGGAGGAGGAGGAGGAGGAGGAGGACAAGTGTAAGCGCAATATTCGCCAACGGTGCTGAAATGCACGCTTCCTCCACGCTTCCTCGTCACGGGCCCCTACACGGGGGTCATTTCCACTGGGGGAAGTGCCCCGTTGGGGACAATTGTGTGAACATCTTGCAGCGCGCCAACACACAATTCTCAGTACTTCAACGACACGAGTGAACCTGGTTGTAACGTCTTGGCGATCCTGCTGAATCGTGCCAAAACGCCAGTCTTGGGAGGAATTCAACACCGCGAACCAACATAACTGTTGCGCCCTGACAGTCGTGAATATTTCCAAAAGCATGTCTGGCACGACGTTAAACATGAACATCACAAAACTCTTGTAAATGTTTAAAGCGAATGCGCGCGGCGCTAAGGCGAAAGCCACATTGCGAAAAGGAACCGCCTTCAAGCCGAGAAACTCTTGCAATTGTTTAAACGATTATGCGCGGTGCGAAGGCGAGTGCCACATTTTGAAGACGACCCGCCATCAATCCGCGAAGTTCTTGCAAACTTTTGAAATGAGTGTGCGCGTCGCTGAGGCGAGAGCAACATCTTGAAAACGAGCCGCCCTCAATCCGTGAAGCTCTTTTGAGCAAATGTGTCAAGCGTGCGCCGCGCTAAGGCGAGAGCCACATATTGCAAAGGAACCGCCTTCAATCCGTGTAGATGTTGTATTTTAGTTTAACGAATGTTCGCGTTGCCAAGACAAGAACTACATTTTGACCCCCCGCTCAATCCGTGAATGTCTTGCATATGGTTAAGAAGAGTATGCGCGGCGCTAAAAAGAGAGCCCCATTTTGAAATCAACCCTCCCTCCATCTGTGAAGCTGTTGCCACTTCTCAAGCATCAGGATCACAAGTGGTGAGAAACTCTCAGGCGAAACGCCCCGTCTGCCCTTTCGACCGTACCCAAGATTCATCAACGATGTTGGAATACTCCCTCCAAGCTCCCTCGTCAGAGGCCCCTACAAGGGTTCAGTTCCATTGAGTGAAACGCCCCGTCGGGGGACAGCCGCGTGAGCATCTTGAAGCGTGTCAAAACACCATTCTCAGGACTTGAACGCCACGAGCGAACCTGGTTATTACGTCTTGGCGATCCTGACTCGTGCCGCAACACCATACTGTACCGCGAATCAGCGTAATTGTTGCGCCCTGAAAGCCTCAAATCGTTCCGAAACGCGCTTTCTGCGACCTTAACCGTGAGAATCCGTTGAGCTCTTGCAGATGTTTAGAGCGGGATGTGCGCCGCGCTAAGGCGAAAGCCACATACGGAAAACGAGCTGCCCTCAACCAGTGAAGTTGTTGCATGCATGTTTTATAACGATTGCGCGGCGCTAGAGCGAGAGCAATATTCTGAACAGGATCCGCCCTCAATCTGTGAAACTCGTGCAATTTGTTGAAATGAATGTGCCCGGCGCTTTGGCGCGAGCCCCATTTTGAAATCTTCCCGTCCATTTGCGAATCCGTTGCCAATTTGTAAGTTTCAGGACCATGAATGGGGAGGAAGTTTCAGGCGAAACGCCCGGCCCGCCCTTTCGACCGACTTCGGGGTGCGACAGGGAGGAGTTATCTCTAAGGAGGAAGAATGGAGGAGGAGGAGGAGGAGGAAGATGAGGAGGAGAAGCAGGAGCAGGAGCAGGAGGAGGAGGAGGAGGAGGAGGAGGCGAGGCGGAGAGCCGCGAGCGATGCGTTGATGGACAGCCCCGCGCGAGCGAGGAGCTGCGCCTCCCATCAGATCTGACGCTGCAAAACAGACTGCAGCCTCGGAAAAGCTACCGCCGGGGCACCGGGTCCTGGACCCCAGCTCTCTGCGACGCTCGCCGAGCCGGCTCGACCCGACCGTGCGAGAGCGCCCGCCGTCACCCGAACGCAGCGCCAGGATCTCAGGCAGCGAGCGGGCGCCCGCCGGCCTGGAGGGCTGCGGCGGGCCGGCGCCCGCGCGGGGCGCCTCGGCGCCTTGGCGCGAGCGGGCGCCGCGCAGCCGCCGGCGCCGGGCCGCGCGCCCGCGCGCGGGCGCCTGCTGCGCCCGTGCGCGGCGCTGCTCGGGGCGCTGCCCGGGGCGGCCGCGCCGCGGCGGCCCGCCCGGGGGGAGGGCGGCGGTCCGCCGCCGCAGCCCGCGGGGGCGGCCCGGCTCTCGGCCGCGTCGGGCGGCCCGGGCCGGCAGGCGCTGGAGGGCCGAGGTCGGCCGCGTGCAGAGAGGGTCGGGGGCGGCCAAGAGGGAGGTGATGACTGGGGGAGGGGCGGGTCTCATCGCGTGGGCCATGGTGTGTTTCCCCAGGTTCCATGGCGCCTTTGGTTGTCTCATTGCGTCCTTGGCCCCCCCGTTGGGACGCGCACGTGCAGCCGGGCGTGGTTTGCGCCCCCCCCCCCCCTCTTGGACGCCCTCCTTTTGGCCGCCCCCGACCCGAGAGGGGGACGGGGGAAGGTGATCGGTTCTTTTTCCTCCCCAGGGTATACCGGGGCCAGACCCCCCCCCTTCCCCCCTCAGATCCCAGGTAGCGCCAACAATCGTACTGGGGGGGGGCTGGACCGCTCCTACATGCTGTGGTGCACACAGGCGATTGATGCGCTGGTGGTGCGGACGCACCCTGGTGGGTGCACGCCGCGGCCGCCGTTACCGTGACCTTGCTGCCCGAACGCCCCCCCTTCCCCCGGGTAGCGGCCGCTACCCTGGGAGAGAAAAAACGGCGATTCGGCTTCTTAGAAGGTACCCGAGAGAGAGAGAGAGAGAGAGAGAGAGAGAAAAAACGGCGATTCGGCTTCTTAGAAGGATGCGGCTGTTTCTTGGAAGGCGCGGGCCTCGTCCACAGATGTGAGGCTGCCGCCTTCTGAGGAGCAGCCTCCTCCTAGGGAGCCTTCCCCCCTCCCCCTGCCCGTGCGCGCGCGCCGCCGAGGCGGCCCGGGCCAGCAGGCGCCGGAGGACAGAGGGGGCACACCACCATGAGGGGAAAAGGTCCTCAAGGGAACGGATCCCGAGGTTTCTCGACGTTGTCGGGTCCTCGGTGCCTTCCCTTCACGGCCCCCGTGACTGCCAGAAAATCGGCGCAGGATGAAGGAATCGGCCTGGGGGAAGGCCCCAGGGCCCAGGACCCGTTTCCCTCAGGATCCGTTTTTCCCATATTAAGGAGAACCACGCGTGGTCGCATCGTAAAACATGATGACGGGAGGTTTTTGGCCGTTTGGGGCCTCCATAGGGGCTTTTGCTGGGCCCGGGGACCGTTAACAAAAATGTTCAGGATGAAAGACAGGACCCCAGGAAAGGGTCGGCGCTTCCGGTGATCCCGTGTTGGAAAAGATCACAACGTCGCATGGTACCGCTACCCCTGCCTCGCTATTTTGCCTTCTCGGGCTTCCCGGGAGCCCCTCGTGACCACCGCTGGCTTCGTTTTTTGAAATTCTGGTCAGAAGTCGGGGTGACCCAAAAGGGGGTCCAGCTGAAAGGGGGTGGTGCAATAGATTTGTGGCAATTGTATTGCAAATGTACTGCGCCGGAGAATTGTATTGCATTGTATTTCAAGTAATGTATTGCACGCGAAAATCCAGCAATACATTTGCGCCGCAGTATGTATTGCACGCCCCGAATATATTGCAACCCCACAATATATTGCACCAAATCTATTGCACCACCCCCTTGTCGCTGGACTCCATTTTGGGTCAACCCGAAGAAGGCGCCCCCCAGGAGAGGTCCGGGGAGCAGCGGGTGATCGGTTCCTTTTTTGTTTTTTCCCCGAGGCGGCCTGGCTCGTGCCCGCGCGGCGCTCGGGCGACCTCGTGCTCGCGGAGGTTCGAGTCAGAGATCGACCGCAAAATTGATTTGCCCCCGAATTGATGTGTTCGCCGAGAGTGTTGAAGATTTGCGGACGTTTGCTTTATTTGTTTGTAGATCCGACGAACAATTCAATTTCAGAGTAGTTCGATTCTGTAGTCGATCTACTACTTGAAAGGTGCGGCCGCCGCGCGGGCCCAGCGGGCAGGCCAGGAGAACAATGTGTGTATATATGTGTGTATATATACACACCTATGCATGTACACGGGTATGTGTGCATGACTATGTGTTGATATTTGCATATGTATGTGTATATGTATATGCATATGTTTACGCACATGTATATGTGCATGTCTATATATACATGCTTATATGTATTTGCATATGAATGCGTATACGCCTATGTATATGTATGTGCATGTGCATGTGCATGTGCATGTTTGCATGCGTAGGCATTTGCATATACATATGGTATAACTACGCATGTGTACATCTGCATGTATGCGCGTGTGGTTGTTAGTGTATGTATGTATGTTGGTATGCAGGTACGTCGGCAGGTAGACATGCATTCATGTATGCATGTATTTATGCACGTACGTTGCATATATGCATGCATGCATGCATGCATTCATTTACGTATGTCTGAATGTATGTATGTAAGAATCAACGAATTAGCGACTGTTGCTATTTATGCATGCATATATGTATGTACGTATGGATGTACGCATGCATGTAATGCATGCGCGCATGGATGAATGTATGTTTGTACGTATGTGTGTATGTACGTATGTATGCATGTAATGTAATGTAATGTAATGTAATTGAATGTAATGTAATGTAATGTAATGTAATGTAATGTAATGTAATGTAATGTAATGCAATGCAATGCAATGCAATTCAATGCAATGCAATGCAATGCAATGTGATGTATGTATGTATGTATATATGTATGCACGTATGCATGCATGTATGTATGTATGTAGGTATGTGTGTATGTGTGCATGTGTGTATGTGTGAATGTATGTATGTACGTATGTATACAATGTAATGTAATGTAAGGTGATGAAATGTAATGTCGTGTAATGTAATGTAATGTAATGTAATGTAATGTATAGTAATGTAATGTGATGTGATGTGATGTGTTGTGATGTCATGTAATGTAATGTAATGCGATGTAATGTAATATAATGTAATGTAATGTATGTCTGTATGTGTGTCTGCATGTACGGTATGTACATGTGTGTATATGTGCGTGCATGTTTGTATGCATGTATACATGCATGCTGCATGTACGCAGGCGTTAACGCATGTATGTGCACATATTCATGCATACGCACCTATGCACACATACGTATACATGTATTATGGATGCGTGCATACACATATGCATGCGTATATGCATGTATGTATGTACGTGTACATGCATGTATGTATGGATGTATGTGTGTGGATGCACGCATTTATGTTTTTATATACACATAGATCTAGATCTAGATATACACCCAGGGGGCAGGCCCGGGGCCCGAAGCCAGCTGCGAGACCTGGGACTGGATTGCTTCCAGACTGGCTCGACCATCGTTGGCGGGACCGAGGCCCCGGCCTGGATTGCTTCCAAACCTCTTTGTGAGGGTCTTGGCCAGCCCCTGAACGTTCGGAAAGAGTTCCAAGAGGGCGCAAGGAGGCCCAAGAGGGCCCCAGACCCGTCGAACGATACATTCAAAACGTGCAAGATGGCCTCCAGACCGCTCTAGAAGCCTTGGATGATTTCCGAGAGTGCCCGAAGACCGTCCCAAGAGGGCTCTAACAGGTAGAACACGTTGATCTCCCGTTGGTCATTCTATATTTTCGGTTTGTTTCGCTTGTTCGAGTTGCTGACGCTCCAACGGTCCGAGAGGCCCCCAGGACCGCGCCAAGACGGCCCAAGAGGCCCCCAAGACCGCCCTACGCAGGCCCAAGAGGTCCACAAGACGGCCCAAGAGGCGCCCAAGACGGCCCAAGAGGACCTGAAGACGCTCCCAAGAGGGGCCCCAGAGGCAGGGCACGGATCGAACATTCGAGGCTTCCGCCCCGAGACGCCCCCAGGAGGGCCCAGGAGTCCCGCAAGAGGCCGCGAGAGAGCTCCAAGAGGCCCCCAAGATGCCAAAACGACGCTCCACAACGGCCGCCGAGAGGCGCCCCAAGCGCCCCGAAGAGCTCTCCAAGCGGCCCCGAATGGGCCGCAGAAACGCTCCAAAGACACTCTGCATGCAGGAGGGCGGAAGGACAAGGAGGAGGAGTCGGAAGACCAGGGGAAGGACAAGGTGACACGGACGAAGAGGAGGACGAAAAGGAGGAGGCGTGGACCCGAGGAGGTTGGGTTGATCAGAAGGAGGAGGGTGGCAAAGGAAGCAGCCTCGGTGATTTTGCAGCGCGCGGTCTGGCAAGACTCTTCCTGAACACGCTGGGAGAGGAAGATCATAATGAGAGCGGAGGAGTAGGGAAAGGGGAGCAGAGGAGGCCGAGGAGGAGGAGAAACAGGCTGAGTTGGAGGAGAGGGAGTAGGTGGAGGAAGAGGAGGAGGAGGAGGAGGAGGAGGGGGAGGAGGAGGAGGAGGAGGAGGAGGAGGAGGAGGAGGAGGAGGAGGAGGGGGAGGACGAGGAGGAGGAGGAGGAGGGGGAGGAGGAGGAGGAAGAGGAGGACGACGAGGAGGCAACACAGTAGAAAGAGGAGGAGGAGGACGAGGAAAGCAGGAAGAGAAGGAGGAAGGCACATAAGGAGAGAGAAGAGGAGGAGGAGGAGGAGGAGTAGGGGAAGAGGTGAACGGCGAGGCGAAGGAGGGGGACGAGGACATGGAGATGAAGGAGGTGGAACAGAAGACATCGGAATAGTTCAGCGACAACGGTACCAGCAACGTTCGAACAGTCGGCACAATACGACACATGAAAGCCGAACGCAGGACGTCCTCGATGGTCGGTGTCACCGTTGTCGCAGCCGTCCTCTCCGTCGTCGTCGTCGAGGATCCCTTCTCTTCCCCCCAAGTCGAGGTTGCAATCGTGAGCGCCTGCGCTAGAACCTAAGCGCGCGCGTGGTTCTAGTGTGCGTGTATGTGTATGAAGGTATGTATATAGGTATCTGGGTGCATGCATGTGTATATATACGTATGTGTACACATGCATGCGTAGATGTACATATCTATGTGTGCAACGTAGCGTGATGCATGTATGCATGTATGTATGTGCGTATGCACGCATGCGTACGTGTAGGTACGTATATATATGTGTGTATGTATGCATATGCATGTATGTATGTATACGCGTACGTATGTATGCATGTAGGTATGCAGGTACGTGGGCGTACGTATGTATGTATGTATGTGTGTATGTATGTACGCATGCACGCATGTATGTATGCATACATGCATATATGTATGCATTCACGTACGTGTGTATGTATGTGTGTGCATGTACGCATGATTGTTGACATGCATGTGTGTTTGTACGTATGTGTGTATGTACGTTTGTACGTATGTACGTATGCATGTATGCATGCATGCATGCACGTATGCATGCATGCATGCATGCATGCATGCGTGCGTGTATACATGTATGTACGCATGAATGTTTGCACACATGTATGTATGCATGCATGTATGTATGTATGTATGTATGTATGTATGTATGTATGTATGTATGTATGTATGTACGTATATGTGTGTATGTATGTATGTAGGCATGCATGCATGCATGCATGCATGTATATATGTATGTATGTATGTATGTATGCATGCATGCATGCATGCATGCATGCATGTATGTATGTATGTATGTGTATATGTATGTACACATGTATGTATATATGTGTATATGTATGTATGTATGTACGTACGTACGTACGTACGCACGTATGTACATATGCATGTATGTATGCATGTATGTGGGCATGTGGGTATGCAGACGTGGGCATGTATGTATGCATGTATGTACATATAGCTATAGTCATACATATATATATATATATGTATGTACATATGCATGTATGTATGCATAGAGAGAGATCTAGCTGCCTGCGGTACACCCCGCCATCGCGTCTGTGCAACAGCGTAGCACGAGGGACGCAGAGTGTAGGCGCAGCGAAGTTCCGACGATTAGTCTGCATTGGTGCGGGTCGCGATCCCGACCCCCGTCTTCGTCCCCGCGGTAGGGAGGAGGAGGGGGAGGATCAGGAGGAGGACGAGGATGCGGAGGAGGAGGATGCGGAGGAGGAGGAGGAGGAGGCGGGGCCTTCTTGGTGTCTCCTGGAGGCCTCCTGGGAGCTGTTTGCAGTCCTCTTGGTGGACTGCAATCTCGACAGGCCGCCACCCTCACGATTCGCGATCAACGTTGGGCGTCACTGATGACACGACTCGTCGTACTCCGTGTGTCAGCACTTTGGTCGAGGATCCCGGGGGGTGTCGACAGCGCCCTTGAGGGCCTTCCTGGCCTCTCTCCGCCTGGTGTTTCTGTCGCGCGTGTTCTGGCCGCTGCGCCTGTGGGCCAGGTTGGGCCTGGTGACCCGTTTGACAGGCATTTCGATTTGGAGGAGGAGGAGGCTGCTCGTCTTTTTTTAGAAAGCCTGTTTAGGGTTTAGGGTTTAGGGTTTAGGGTTTAGGGTGTAGGGTTTAGGGTTTAGGGTTTAGGGTTTTAGGGTTTAGGGTTTAGGGTTTAGGGTTTAGGGTTTAGGGTTTAGGGTTTAGGGTTTAGGGTTTAGGGTCCCAGGTTCCAGCATGCTTGCATTTGTCTTTCGTATTGCGGCGGACACTTTATACCGTTAGGAGGACGAGCAGCCGTTGGTCAGGCCCCCGCTTGAGGAGGAAGGAGTGTCGGACTGACAATGCTTGTGACAGTGTTCTGTAGCAGCTCTCTATGTGGCACACCAAGAGGTGCTCCCCACGATGCCTTGCTTAGCCTGCTACCAGCGGCTCATGTCCTGGTGTAGCACGGTCCCCCTGGCTTGTGCGTGCGAGTGAGGGGCTACTCGGGCGGGCTTATTTGAGGTTGGTCTCACCTCTCGTGCCCAAACACCCCCGCCCTCCGCCTTTCGGCCTGCCACGCGGCTGTGGGACACAGCTTGGAGTGCACTGTCTGTCAAAGCGTCCACTCCTTGCTGCCTCTGCGCTGCCAGGTCTCTGGCCTGCGCTTGAGGCTTGAGGGGTGGGTTTGTCCTTGGGCGTCGGGGGCCGAGGGTCGATCCGTGTGGACGATCGCCGAGGTTCCCGACGCACCTCGTGGGCAGCTCATGTCTTGCTTGTTGTGTTGCTTTCCACTTGCAGTGTGCCCTGTGTCTTCGAGGGGTGGTTTGTCCAGGGCGGCGGGACCGAGGATCCACGCCAGCTCTCGCCGAGGCCCCGTCGCCCACGGTGGCAGCTGTCTGTCTCGTGACTGTTGGCACGTTATGTGTCTGCATGGCCAGCTGTAGCGCCATGACAGCTGGTTTTTCGAGACCTCCCTCGGATGCTAGAAGAGGTGGTGGTTGCCCGCAGGGGAACACATCCTGGGGGCCTCTTCGAGACCTCGTGGGGCCTCTCGGGGGCCTCTTTGGGGCTTCCTGGGCCGTCTCAGGGGGTTCGTGGCCCGTCTGACGCCTTGGAGGCCGCCATGGGGGCCTCTCTAGGCCGTATCGCTGCCCTCTTGGAGCGATTCACGGCCGTCTGTGGGCTGTCTTGGGAGACCCTTGAGCGATCTTTGGACCCTTTTTGGCCCACTTGCGGCCATTTCGTGAGTCTCGTTGGCTGTCTTAGTGCTATCTTGGAGGCCTCTTGGAGGCTTCTTTGGCCGTCTTGGGCGGTCGGAAACCTGAAACGGCGAGAGCCTCACAATCTTCGAAAAGCCGTTTGGGAATCACATCAATGGTTTTGGCCCCTTCGGGCTCTCCAGGACGGCTCCTTGAGCTGTCTTGGGCCCCTCTTGGGGGCCTTTTGGACCTTCGTGATGTCGTTTTGATACAATTGAGTTAGTTGGTGCCATCTTGAGCCGTGTTGTTGTCGTCTTGGCTGTCTGTGTAGCAGTCTTGGCGATGTTCAACCCTGCGTGCGAACCGGGCGGCGACCCTAGAAATCATCAAAAAACATCCCTTGAGGGACTGCAGGAACATTCCAACACATCCACTCGTTGTCTGAAGCACGGTGGCCGATACATATATACATAAGCTCATATATATATATATATAGGTATCTACACATTTATACAGGTCTGATGTCTACACATATACGTACACATGCATACACACATCAATACACACATACATATATGTACATACAACATATACACGTATACAACTTTATAAGTATGAATGTCTGCCAGTTTGCCCGCCTGTCTGTCTGCGTGTATGCATGTATGAATGTATTCATGAATGTAAGCACGTACGTATGCATGCATGTACTACGTACGTGCGTACGTTCGTATGTTTATATGTATGTACGTATGTGTTTATGTGTGTGTTTCTATACTTATATATATATATACATATATATGTGTGTGTATGTGTGTATGTGTGTGTGTTTGCGTGGACATTTGCATTTGTATGAACCTGCACTTTCGTCGCTCTGCTCGGACTTTTTGGATTGGCGCCGCGCCCCTGTAGCCTCGCGCACCCATGCGCGTTCCGCATGCCAGGGGGGGATGGGGGTGCCCAGCGCCGATCCCAGAGATCCGCGCGGGCCTTGGACACTTCGTGTTTGCGACGTTTCTCGCTCGTTTCATATGGAAAAATCTGCGGTGGTGTGTGTGTGTGTGTGTGTCTGTTTTTTTTGTTGTTCTCCATCGGCGCGCATTTTCTGCGATGGCCACCCCGGGGGGCTCTCCTTCGGCCCTGGGGCCATCAGGAATGGATCGGGCCGACACATCACCCCCGGGGAAGGGGTCTGAAGCTCTGGGGCTGCGTTTTGAAGAAACCATGTCGCCGGATGCTTGAGTATACGCCACCGGCCAGGCCTGTGGCTCTTCCTTTTCCCCAGCTCCTGCCAATCCCCGCCGCCTGGGCAATCCCTGGCGGGTGGCTTCTCAGCAGCCCGTGGGCTCAGTATGGCAGCATTTTGCTGCGGCGCGCTGTTCGCAGCCCCAGGTCCCGCCACAGACGCTCACGCCGTGCCTGCATCCTGCCGCCGCCGTGCCTTTGCAGCAAGCAGAGACCGACGCGTCCGGTTCCGTGACGGACAGCTGGATGCTCCAATTTTCGCTGTTGTGGGCTCGAGCGCCGCTCCTCCTCCTGAGGTGCTGGCTGGACTTGCTTCACGCGTTGAGCGCCTAAAGCCTTGCCATTCAGCCCCCGGATGTGGTCACGATGCCGCTCCGCGCCCACTGCCAGGTCGCCTCAGCACAGGCTGGCCGCTCGCTGGCCGCGCCTGCTGGAGCTCTGTCCGCAGTGAGTGCCCTCCCCCCCTCCCCCTGCTTTCCGCGGCCGCCCTTTTCTCTCTCCTCTCTCTCTCTTTTTTCTTGCAGCCGGTCTACCACTACACCCTAGGCGATGCTTAAGAAAACCCAAGTTTTCGGCCAGAGTCTCGATTATTCTTAATTTTTCAATGTAAATCCCAAGATTTTGATAGAAGTTCTGGGTTTTATTCAAGTTCTCAGACTATGAATTTCTTAACCCATGATTTCTTAAGCATTTCGCAGGGTGTATGCCACGCGCCCCGGGCTTCTTAGAGCGCGCGAGCGGATCGCCCCCTGCTGCGCTGCGGCGTACGCAGCTCGGCTGTACGGTATGCCATTCTGTTGCCCTTCCCTCGCCACCGCTGCAGGGTGCGCTTCGAAGTCAAGGGCTCCCAGGAGGGCGCGAAGTTATTCGCGCTTCGCGCTTCGCCGTCCTCCTTCCTCCTCCCCCTTCTCCTCGTCCTCCTCTTCTCCCCCTTGGGGGGCGGCGCGAGAGCGCGAAGTTATTCGCGCTTCGCGCTTCGCGCAGCGCGAAGCGCGAACTTAGGAGCCCTTGCGAAGTCCAGGCCCCAGAGGAGGGGCCCGTGGGCAGCTCTCCGGAGTTCGAGGCCTCGGCTTCTTCCGCGCGGAGTCCCCGCGCGTGCGGGCCCTTCCCCGGGGGCAGGTTTTTCGCCCCGAGTCCTCCTCCTCCTCCTCCTCCTCCTCCTCCTCGCGTCCGGTAGGGGCCCCGAGAGGCCGAAAGTCAAGAAGCACCTCCGTCCCCATCTTCCGGGGCGCCTCATGCCTAGGTCTTCGACGGGTTCGCTCCGCATTCCTGCCGCTGCCCCCGATTTTGCGCGCCATAGGAAGCAGGGCCTGGATAAAAAACGTGCCCGTCGGAGGCCAGGAATCTATCCATGTCCCCGCTCGGGTTCCTCGTGGGGTCGGGGTCGCGAGCAGGGGTGTGGGTCAAGTGAGCGACACAACAAGATGGAACGTTCCCGGTTTGTCTGGCGATGGTCGACCTGCTCTTTATCCTCCTCCTCCGTCTCCTTTGCTTCACCTCTTGCAGCAGCGATGCGTTTTAATGGATAGTTCGTATCGACTGTTTTTCTGTTCCAGGCGCCCGCGATGCTAATAGTGGCTTCGGGATCGGCATTTGGTGGTTGCGCCCTCTCCAAACCAAAAAGATGGGATCGTCTGCGCCAACATTTACGCTCAAACTGCCGGCGAAATGTCGCGAGTGAGCGCCCTCGTCTCCAGCATATCGTTCCGCGCTGAAGGCCCGCGTAAACTGCCGCGTGCGGCCGCCCTGCCGTCTCGCGTAAGATTCTTCCGTGGCCCGAGTGTAGAGTGTTAGATCGCCTCTCCCCTGCTCCCCCGTGACAGGGCCCCGCCGGGGCGGCGCGGCTGCCTGGCGCCCTTGAGGCCGCCGTGCGGCTGCCCATGGAGGCCTTCGGGGAGGGGCGCGGCGCCGCCCGCGACGCCGTGCTGGGGCGGGGGTCATGGGCCTGTTTTCCACCACCACCACCATAAGTTGGAGGGGGGAAGGAGGTAGAGGATGAGGAGGAGGACGAGGAGGAGGAGGAGGAGGAGGAGGAGGAGGACCCCCTCCCCCTCCCACTTATGGTAGTGGTGGTGGAAAACACGCCCACCAGGGGGGCGCTGGAGGGCGGCGCGGCGTACCTGCTGCTGCGGCCGGGGCCGGCAGGCGCTGGGGGGGCAGAGGTCGGCCACGCGCACAGGGGGGGGGCTATAGGGGGTGTCAGGGGGGAAATCAGGAGGGAAAGAAACACACAGACACAATTCATCGTCGATCCCCAGAAAATATGGGAAACTATGGGAAGTGGGGGGGGGAAGACAGAAGCCCAGAACATGTGGGAAAATATGGGGAGTCTTTTTATGTGTGTGTGTATTTATTTGTGTGTCCCAGGGCCCCTTCAGGAAGGGCCTCCCAGAAGGAGGCGGCTGCTTCTGGGAAGGCGCGGGCTCTGGCTGCCTTCTGGTAAGGCTGGCGCCCTCTCAGAAGAAGCAGCCTCCCTCTAAGAAGCCTTCCCCCTCCCCCCAATAAGCCCCTTGTGCGCGCAGCCAAAGGAAAAACTCAGACATGCTCGCGCCCTGAGGAAATCGGGGCGGGACATTTTTGGCGTTTTTTTCGGGACGGGAGGTTCTTCACCGTTTTTGGCTTCTGGAGGCCTTGACAAGTCCTGGGGACCATCAAAAATTGTTCATGATGACAAGCCGGTCCCAGGGAAAGGGTCGGGATGATATTTGGTGATCCTTTGTAGAAAAAATCAAGACATCGCATGTTTGGGAACGTACGGATACCGCAACCCTTACCTCGTTTTTGCCTTCGTGGGCCTCCTGGAAGCCCCTCGTCACCAACGCTGGCTTTGCCTTCGAAATTCTGGTCAGGAGGCGCCCCGCGAGAGGTCAAAGGAGTAACGGTATCGGTACCTTTTGGTTTGCCTAGGAGGTCGGGGGACTGGCGGGGAGCTGGCGGACGCCGATGTCTCGAAGAGGGACAACAACACCACAGACACATAGCCCATATGTTTCGATCCGATCGACTCGGTTCCGAGATGGGTTCTGGCTCCAGCCCGATCCGGTTCGACGATCCGATTCGGATGTTTGCATGGCGCTGTTTTGCATGCTGGCGCAGCCAATCCGATTCGGCTTTGACTCCGTGCCGATGCGGCCCGATCCGACGCACATCTCGATTCGACCCGATTTCCCGATTCGATGCTGACTGATCTTGCCAACAGAAGCTGTCGGAGCTCCGCGAGGATTTCCTGGATCGGTGCTGGGCCCCGCTGGCGGCGTCACTGGCGCGCGCTCCGCGCGCAAGGCAGGGGGTCCAGCGCAGATCCAATAAATCCGCGCTGAGCTCCGAAAGCTCATGACTGTGCCGTGTTTAGCTCTTCTGGAGAGGTCGTCGGGCTGGCCCGAGTCTCGCTCGCCCCGCTGGCGCGGCCCAGCGCCAGCGGCCGAGACGCGTTCCTGACGTACGTGATCGTGCGGAAGGAGACAGTTTTCGTGAATCCCCTGGTGTTGACGGTCGTGATACCAGTCGGGGGTGGACAGAACCCCCAACAGTGACACGTCGATTAGTGAATTGTCCGTTCTCGGTTCTCGAGAGGGCGCCGTGGCCGTTATTTTCCAGGCTTGCGCCCGCCAGGTTTGGGCCTCAGGTCGTTTTCACTAAACCACGTTTTACTAAAGGGGGGTCTGTCCATCCCCGAACCAGGGGGATGGAGGGGGCCGGTGTAACGTGACGATTCGCGCCAGCGCAGTCTGGGAACGTCTGGACACGGCCAGTTCCCAGGCGGCGCCTGCGCGAATCGTAGCGTTGCCAGGGGGGGGGGTAAGGGTGCGGGGCTGGTAGCAGGCCTCGTCGAGAATGCAAAATGGCCTCGAGGACCTTCGCGGGCGCGGGCTCGGGGGCAAGATGGTGGGCATGGTGGAGGCGCAGGCGCGCGAGGCGTACGACCGGATGTACCTCTGGACCAGCCCCGAGCGCCGGGGCTTCTATTCGAGGCTCGGCTTCGGGGAGGTCGTCGGTTGGCGTGAGGGGCTCTTTGATACCCGTCGGCTGGGCGAGATGCACCAGCTGAGCGAGGCCACGATGCTGAGTCCCGGGCAGATCGTCATGGCGAAGAGTTTCAGATCGCCAGCTGCGTAGCGCCTTGCCTCGGCATCGTCGTCGCCGTTGTCCCCTCTGCCCTCCCCTCCCCTCGCCCCCCCTCCGAGAGAGCGCCTCGAGATTTCGTTTTCAAGATCGATGGCATGTGCCTGCGTTGGAACATACTCAGTTCTCGATGATTGCGCAACGTGCTCGTGTGGAGCAGACATCTTTCTTCGTGAGAGTTCCGTCACGCGAATTATATTCAAAGTTATCTGAAAAGTTATTCGGGAACCAGTCCAGACGTCATCCCCGTTTGTATTTTGAAGTCTTGTCCCTCTTCTCTCACTTTCCCCATCGCCCTCTCTGTCCGGTCCATTTCAAAGTTTCGACGTTGGCCTTTTTGCTGGCGTTTGCATCCTATCTGCCCTTGACCAGGTAATGGAGGCCAAGGTGGTGGAACTGCTGTGCGAGCAGGCTGCTCCGTGCCGAGGGGGGGATTTGTTGGGTTTTTCAGAGTGGCTTCGCAGTTTCGATGGGTTTCTTCGACCCCTTGCGAATTTTCGGGGATCCTTGGATGCTCCCCGTACGTCATTTTGAAACAGTTTTATCGTGTATTCCCAGATTGGGAGGATCGATAGTGGTGGAATGACCCACGAGGACGACGAGGAGGAAGAACCAGGAGGGAAAAAACACAGACACAATTAGTCGTCGATTCCCAGGAAAATATGCGAAAATATGGGAAGTGTGGGGGAAGACGGAAACACAGAATATATGTGAAAATATGGGGAATCTTGGGATGTGTGTATTTATTCGTGCGTTTGTGGGCCCCTTCAAAGAAGACGCGGAGGAGGAGGAGGACGAGGAGAACGGCGGGCACTCCGCCGAGGATGAACTTCAAGAATCGAAGACGAGGTCGAGACGGCAGAGGCAGACGTGGGATGCAACGGCTAACGGGGAGCTGGGGGACGAATTTGCGAGTGATGGGCGCGGGGGTTATCCTGACGGCGATGGCGTTGATCATGTTGATGAGGACGATGGGAGGCACGAGTGGCAGGACCAAGAGGAGGAGTGAGTGGCGGAGGTGGCAGCGGGGCGCAAAGAACGTTTGTGATGGTGGTGATGATGATGGTGATGGTGATGGTGATGGTGATGATAATAGTGACGGTGATGGTGATGACGATGGTGGTGGTGGTGGTGATGGTGATGATATTGATGATTATGTTGATGTTGATGATGATGATGTTTATGGTGGCTGTGCTGCTGATGATTGTGGGGATGATGATGGTGGTGAGGATGAGGATGATCATAAGAATGAGTATGAGGATGAGAACGAGGATGATGACGACGATGATGATGATGGTGGTGATGGTGACGATGATGGTGATGATGCCGATGCCGATGATGATGAGAATAGTGATGAGGATGCTGCAGATGATGATGCTTGAGATGATGCAGATGACGCTGACACGATTGATGATGCTGCTGATGATGATGCTGATGATGACGATAGTGATGGTGATAATGAAGATGGTTGTGATGACGATGGTGATGATGATGGTTGTGGTGGTGGTGGCCGTTGTGGTGTTGGTGGTGGTGGTGATGGTGCTGATGATGATGACAATGACGATGGCGATGACGATGCCGACGACAATGCCGACGACGATGATGATGATGACGATGACGATGATGATGATGATGCTGATAGTGATGATGATACTGCTGATGATGTTGCTGATGATGATACGATGATGCTGATGATGGTGATGATGCTGCTGACGATGATGGTGATGGTGATGCTGATGATGCTGATGATGCTGATGATGATGATTGTGGTTTTGGTGGTCGTTGTGGTGGTGGTGGTGATGATGTTGGTGGTGGTGATGGTGATGATTATAATGATGATGCTGATGATGATGATGATGATGATGATGATGATGACAATGACGATGACGATGACGATGACGATGACGATGTCGACGACGATGACGATGCCGATTAAGATGACGATCACGGTGACGATGCTGACGACGATGACGATGACGACCACGATGACGATGACGATGATGATGATGGTCATGATCATGATCAGGACCATGATCATGATGCTGATGATTAGGTTGATGATGATGCTGTTGTTGCTGCTGCTGCTGCTGATGATGATGATGATGCTGATGGTGGTGGTGGTGTTGGTGGTGGCGGGTGGTTGTGGTGGTGGTGATGAGGAGGAGGAAGAGGAGGAGGAACCAGAGGAGGAGGAGGAGGAGGAGGAGGAGGAGGAGGAGGAGGAGGAGGAGGAGGAGGAGGAGGAGGAGCAGCATGAGGTCCAGGAGGAGGAAGAGGAGGAGATGGATGAGGAGATGGATTAGGCGGAGGCGGAGGAGCAGGAGGAGGAGAGGAGGAGGAACCAGGGGCGTGGGGGAGGAGGGGCATGTGCAGATGGGAGGCGGAGGCTGGGGAGCCCGAGGAACGGAGCCCGCACCTTGTCGGCGCCGCGCGTCGCGATCGCGCTTACACCATCGGCCTCCTGGCCGCACTTTCCTAAATGCCAGAGGCGAACGTGCTCTCCTCATGTGAGGGGGACTAACTGCGCGGACATCCGCTCGTTAGTTTCCCGCGTACGGTCGCGTGTGAGCGCCTTTGTTTCCTATGTAGCGTGCCGCGCTGCCGTCCGGGTAAGCCGCGTCGTAAGGTCGCCACGCCATCGTGCGTGAGAGGTCTTTCCGTTCGTCGCTCGTGTGGCGGTTGGCGGGCGGAGTGGGGTGGCACGTGCTGTCTTGTGTGGGATTGGGAGGGGAGTTGGAGGCAGAACGTGCAGATGAGGACGGGAAGGAAGAGAAGGGGGAGAAGGAACCTGCACAGCAAACGCGCTCTATTTGGCATCCGCGCGCATCCGCCCTGTACTGCCAGCAGCGGAGGTATCATGGCCCAGTGGCGCTGATACCAGTAAGCAGGGAAATATCAGACAGAACTAAACGTCGACTCCCAGGGAACATGTAGGAAGTGTTGGGGAAGAAGTCGGGAAAATTAGAAAGGGTCCTATGCGTGCATGGGTCCTTGGGGAAGTACTGAAACACGAGCGGCCGAGATTCGCCGCGGGACGGGCCGGGTGGCCGCCGCGCATGCGCGCGCGTCTCTGCCCCCCCCCGCGTTCGCTCCCCCTCCCGTGCCCCATTTTCCCGCGTCCCCGGGGGGGGGGGGGGCTCGCTCAAAAGTACGGCGCGGCTCTTTCGAAGGGGTCTACTCAAAAGTATAACTTGGGGAAGTCACGGGCGGATCGTAATTTTGAGCACATTTCTCAAAAACACAATCGGGAGATTGTACTTTCGAATGAGGGGAGGGGGAGGGGCTCAAAAGCAGAACCGTGGGCCGATGGCGCGGGCCCTCGGACGCGTCGGGCGCGGGCGTCGCCGCGCGGCCATTCCGGCGAGCCCACGGGCGGTGCGCCCAAAAGTACACCAAAAAGTACACTCAAAGTGCTACTTTCCCTTAGCTCTTGCGCGCGCGCGGCGCTGCGCTTGCGACTCGGATCTTCTTTTCCATTTGGAACTTCCGCGTCGGCCGGACGCGGGCGATCTGAACACCACCCTTCGCATTCCTAGGGCGGGGGCGTGTTTTAACATCTTTTGCAGTGTTCTTTTTTTCCAACGCGTTATCACGACAAAAGTGGCCGTCGGTGAGACCCCGACAAAGAGCGACGGTCGTCCTGGTGTGGTGTCCAGGGCCTGACGATGGCAGCCGTGCCGAAATCTAGCTCCCAGAGATTCCCTCATTCGTTGGCGATACCCTTCGGGGTGTCGCTCGGCGACGCAGGTGAATCTCTTGGGTCTGGGCTACGGCGTTGCCGCCGTCGTCTCTATATACCAATACATGATTAGAGTTGAGATGCGTTCGGGGCAGGCGGCGCGAGTGGAGATAAGCACTGGTAAGGTCTGCTATGCCCTGCTGGGGCCTGCGACCCCATGCCAAGCACTGCTAAGCTCTGCTATGCCCTGCTAAGCCGTGGTAGCCCCTGCTAAGCCGTGCTAGCCCCTGTAAAGCACTGATAAGCACTGGTGGGCACTTGTAAGCGTGGCAATGCCTGGCATGGCCTGCTAGCCCCTGCTAAGCTTTGCAAGGGGGGGAGAGGGGAGGGTCAAACGCCAGGAGGCGATTGTACAGTACGAGAACTCGCGGTTGGGATGTGCAGCGCCTGGGGAAGAGTGACGCCGCGGAATTTGCGTGCCAGCCCCCCCTCCCCCATGTCCGTGGGCGCGGGGCTCAATATGTCCCCATGGGTGCCCGGAGCGGAGGGCGAGGGAAAACACGGGCAGGTAATCCATATCGAATGCAGGTCAGGTTTGTTCCCGCCGATTTGGCTCGAGCGCAGCTGCCCTGGCTCGCGCCGCGCGCGCGCCGTGCCGCCCCTCGCGCCCCCTTGGCTCCAGGATGGCCCCGAAAGGAAAGGCGAAGGCCAAGGCGGAGGCAAAGGCGAAGGCGCGGGCCGAGGCGAAGGCGAAGGCCGCGGCGCGCGCCGATAAGGAGAAGAGGAAGTCGCAGAAGAGGGTGGCGCGCCGCGACGCAGTTCGCGAACTGAACGCTCTCGCGGTGGAAGTGGGGGTGGCGACGCAGCCAGTGAGGTCAGCGAAGCTGCCTTGCGCGCGGCTGCGGAGAAGAGGGCGTGCAACGGAGGGAAACTGAGCAATGGGCTGACGCCGTCGCCAGATGCGGGGCCCGAAGGGAGCGCGGAGTCGGCCATCCCCTACCACGAGGTGTTCGTCAGGGGGTTCTGGGTGCAGACTCACGCGTGCATGTTGACGTTCAACAATACGGAGTTCACCCCGGATACGCGGGCCCTCTTCGAGGAGTGGTGCGGCGCGACGGCCGCGCGCCTCGGGTCCCGCGCGTGGTCGGGGCGCCTGGAGCAGCCCCTTCGCGCCGCCACGGACGCGCCAAGGTACTGCCTCCACGCGTACTTGTACTGGAAGGGCGGCGATGGCTTGCGCCTGCGGAGCGCGGACGACCTCGCGTTCCAGGACACGAAGCCACGGGTGGACGTGTGCACGCGGACGAACCCGGGCCGGATGAGGAACGCAGCCGTGCAGGGGTTGTACTACGTGTACCTCCCCAAGCTCGGCACCCTCCATGCGGCGGCGAACTAATTCCCTTTCCAGGACTACGTTCCGAAGCCAGTGTGGCTGGACGGGTGGTGGGCGGCCCAGAAGCTGTCCCATGACCAGTATCGCGAGTTGTCCCTGCTGTTCCGGATTGGTTCCCAGAAGAGGAAGAGGGGCGTGGAGGAGGTCGCGCAGGCCGAGAGGGAGGGGTTCTTGCAGAAGCACCTGGCGGTGGAGCTGGCCGAGCTGGAGCGAGCGGATCCAGTGCGGCCCGCGCAGCAGTTCCCAGAGACGGCGGAGTTCGTGCAGCTCTTCTCGAAGCCGATGCGGCGCCGGCCCATCCTCGTTATCTTCGGGGGGACGAACCTCGGCGAGAGCATCCTGGCCGGCTCCGTTCTCGAGGACGTCGCGAAGATGCTGCACCTTCCGGGCGTCGTGGAAGTCACTGTCGAGGAGGATTCGAATCTCGACCTGGCGGAGTTCGATTTGGCGAAGCACTCCGGGGTCCTCCTTGACGGCGCGGGGGGCGCCATGATGCTCAAGAGACACCGGGGGGCCTTGCAGGGCCGTCCCAAGATGAGTCGCGGGGGCAAGTCCGCCACCAAGATGTATTCGTATCCGCTCACGCTCTGCAGACGGGCAGTGGTGGTGACGATGGACCCCAGCGCCAAAAACCTCCACGAGTTCCGCGCATGCCACTGGCTGTCGAACCCCAAGAACGTCGTCCTCCTCCGGCTGAACGCCCCCGCGTGGGCTGAGGCAGCCGACGCCTCCGACGCGGCCGAGGAGTGCATGGCGGGGTGGACAGTGGAGGAGGTCGGCGGATGGCTGGAGAGCGAGGACATGGTCGGGCCCGCAAGGGGTGTCCGGCGCCGACCTGATAGCTTTCGAATTCGCTGAGGAGGCGAAGAGGGACCTCGCCATGACGATGTTCGTGGCGAAGAAAGTGCTGAGGCTCCGGGGCGCCCGCGCGCGCTCGCGACGCACGCGGGCCGCGCGCGGTCACGCGCGCCCCCGCGGCGGCGACGGCAGCGACGGTTGCGACGGCTGCGCGCGCCCGGGCCTTCCTGGGGACGCTTTGAAGAGGGGCCCCGGGGGGGGCTCCAGGGGGGGTTCCGGGGGGGCTCCGGGGGCTCCACGCCTGGAAAGCATCAAAAATACATGGAATTCCATTGGTTTCGGGGGCTCCGGTCGGGTGAGCGGGCTCCGTTCATAATGCTAATTGCGGGTTGTGCACGCCCCCCGCGCCCCGTTCTAGGCTCTCCTGGAATTCAACCGGCGCCGCCTCGTCTTCCAGAGCTCCGCCCCGGCTTGCCCCCGGCTTCCCACAGGGTCTTAGGATCAGACCCCGATGATCCCAGAGTTTGGGGTCAGACCCCGCGTCTTGGGGTCAGACCCCGCGAATTGAAATCGTTGATGATGTATTGTTTATGTTATGTTTAACAGTATGTGTATGCAATACTTAATTCAATTTTGCAAAATGCCATTTACTTTCTTCGGGATTGCATTTTGCTTCGCTTGAGACAATCTCGCCAATTTGCCGCGTTATCTTGAGCTGTCGTTGGCCCTCCTGTCACGCGCCCCCCCTTCCTCCTGCCCCCCGCCCCCGCGCCCGCCCATCGGCTGGAGCTGCCAGGGCGAGCCCTCGCCCGAAGGAAGGGGGGGCCGAGGAGAAGGGGGCGCGAGGGCGGGGGGGAGGGCGAGGGGGGAGGAGGACGAGGAGTAGGAGAGCAGGGAAGGGGGAGGAAGAGGAGGAAAAGGGGCAGGAGAGAAAAGCAAGAGGAGGGAGGATGAGGAGGGGGTGGAGGAGGGCGAGGAGGAGGAGGAGAGCAAGGGAGCGGGGAGGAAAAGGAGGAGTAGGAGCAGGAGAGAAAAGCAAGAGGAGGAAGGAGGAGGAGGAGGCGGAGGAGGCGGAGCGCTCCTCCTCCCCCGCCTGGCTCGGACTAGCAGCTGCTGGGCCTGCTGGGCCGGCCGCGGCGACCGGCCGCGGCGATGGCGCGCAGGCCGATCCCCCTTTGTGTTTTTGTTTGCCTCCGTTCCTCATCCTCCTCATCCTTCTCATCCTCTCCATCCTCTTCAGCCTCCTCATCCTCTTTGATTTCTCTCGTGGGTATCCTCATCCTCCTTCCTCCCTCCCTCCCCCCTCCCCCCTCCGATGCTCCTCCTATTCATAATTCCTCGTCCTCTCCACCTCCCTTGCCCTCCCAGCGAAGAGGCTCGAGCACTCACGCCTCCAGCAACTTGCGCGCCCGCTCGCGGTCGGAGACGAGCACCCGCAGCCACTCGCGGTCGTGCTCCTCGTCGCTGTCGTGCTGCTCGCTGGCGTCGTGCTGCTCGCTGGCGTCGTGCTGCTCGCTAGCGTCGTGCTGCTCGCTGGCGCCGTGCTGCTCGCTGGCGCCGTCCTCGGAGTCGTCGCTGACTGTCTCGGCCATTGCGCCATCCTTGGAGTCGTCGCTGTCCTTCTTGGCCATGGCGCCATCCTTCATCTGGGAGTCGTCGTCGTCGCTGTCCTTCTCGGCGCCGTCCTGCACCGTGTGGTCGTCGACGTCCATCGCGTCGGGTTCCTCTTGTTCTCCGCGATCCACCTGCGGGCTCGTCGCCGACTCGGGCTCGCTCCCCCAATCGTGCGGGTCGTCGGGTGAGCGGTCTCCGAAGTAGTCGACACTGAAGTGCTCGCGCTGCGTGTCCTCCTCGATGACCTCGGCGGGCGCGGCGTCGTCGTCGTCGTCGTCGGGTGGCATCCTGACGACCCCGTAGGCTGCCCATTGGACCCAGTGCAGCTTGACGGCAGACGTCCTGGCGTTGTCCATCACGAGGCGGCGCCTCTCCTCAGTCGTACGGTTTGGCAAGGCCGCCATCAGATCAGGCGGCGCGAATGCGAGCGCCATCGTGCCCTCGCAAAGACAAGCTTGAGCCCAGGGTGGCAACTGCAGGTGCTGGTTTCCAGGGGTATGTTTCCAGGGGCTGATGTCCTGCGTGCTGAGTTGGCGTTTGGGTTTGCATCAGTTTTCGCGTGGGCTCGCGCGAGTTGCAATGCATCGGCGTTCGATCGGCGCTCGAAGGGGTGCAAGGAGGAGGAGTGTCTGAGTTCGTATGGGTTTACGTATGGGTTTGTATGAGCTCGGGCGTGTGTGTGTGTGTGTGTGTGTGTGTGTGTGTGTGTGTGTGTGTGTGTGTGTGTGTGTGTGTGTGTGTGTGTGAGACTAGCGCGCGTTTGGGGCCGCATGAGTTCGCATTAGTCCTCATGGGTTCGAACAAGCTCCTCTGATGTCGGATGTGCAAAACTTCAGACGCGTTTCCGAGCTGGGCAACGAATATCACACATAGTGCATAGCTGACACGCAAGCAAGAAACTGGCGAGCCACAGATGCACGCAGCCGACGGCCGAAGGTCCGAGACATATAATCACGTAACAGACTTGCCAACAGCTCGGATTATGTTTGCAGGCGTACTGCATATGAACTTACGGCCTGTCATCCTCGGCGGCGACCATGTCCCAGCCATCCCGCGGGTCGCCCTCGGGCGTAGTCGGCGCCCTCTCGTGAGGCTTGTCCTCGGATGGGCCGACCGTGATGCTGTGCCACTTGCCGTCCACGACGCGCGAGGTGTCGGACAACTGATAGCCAACCGCAACGCCTGCAGAGTTGCCGAAGACCTTGACATGACGAAAGGCCTCGTCATCACCGCTGAGGTCGTAGCCGGAAGACTTGAGAGCTGCCAACTTGAGGTCCAGCACAGACGAAAAGACGCGGCCATGCGTCGGACCCTCGCGATTCAGCAGCTCGATGGTGTTCCACTCCCCCTTATCGTGGCAGAGCACTGGCATGGAGATCGCGTTGATGTTCGCTGGCGGCCAGTCCGCCGTCAAAGCTCGCGTCGTCGGAGGCGCGCGGATCATCATCACGATTAGCCACTGGTCGAGCTGCGCGAGCTCCTCATCCTTCAGCGGCTCGCTCGCCCCGAGTGCTTTGTAGATGTTCATGGCCGAGCCGTGGAAGCGCGAGTAGTCCGTCTCGATGATCTTCTTGAGGTTGGCCACGCTGGACACGCACGTCCTTTTCTCACGGTCCCAGGGGGCGGGCGCGACGAGCGGGAGCTAGCAATCAAGCGCTTTCATGTAGGTCAGGAACTTCCCCGCGACCATGTACTGCTGGGCGCCGTCGCCGCTGGTGGGCTTCTCGCGCTGGATCGTCAAATCGATCAGCACGGTGGCGGCCGCCATTGCAGTGGGAGGCGGTGCAGCTGCGATCGCAAGCCTCAAGTCCGAATCGGTTGACTGGAACGGAAGCTCAGCCTGAGTGGCAACGACGGAGGGGGGGGGGCCGAATGAAGGCATCAGCGGCCCCGCGGCATGGCGGTCATTCCGACGTCGCGGGACATCGCCGCGGCTGGACACGCCTCGGCAAATTTTGCAGTCCACGGGCCCTGCTCACCGGACACGCTTGCGCGTCACCGCCGATTTGTGTCGCTTATTTGCTGGGGAAATGGTGAAGCAACTTCTGCTTGCTCATTGGGGCTCGCGTTTCTGGTTCGAATCATGTTTGGCAGTGCGCGGTCAGACCGTGTCCATAGTCGTTCTGATTTCAGGATCTGAACGCGTTCCCCCTTCTCGTCTGTCCTCCTTCACCTTCCCCCCCCCCCTTCCCCGTCTTCCTCCTCTCTCCTCCGTCCTCTCCGAGCGAATTGATTTCACTGGGACCTCAGCGCAGTTTTTTGTAAGCGGGGTGCAAAGGCATGGGCCCCAGGGCCATGCGAGCCTGGAGGAGGAGGGCCTGAAAGGAATTTGAGGAGGATGCGGGACAGGCGTGGAGGGGGCAGGGGAGGCCATGGGGAGGGGGGGCGGGCGACGTGGACGCTAGGAGACTGAGAGGGACAGCGATGGCGATGTCTGAGCACAGTGCCCCCACGATCTCAGGCACCGCAGCCATGGGCGAGCTGCAGGGCTGCTGGCGCTGCTCGGGGGCCAACTCAGGCACCGCGGGCAAGGGCAGTGGTCGCTGTGGGTGCGTCAGGTCTCTCTGCATATTATGTTATGTCCCCCTCTGCCTCTACCCACTTGCCTCATCTCATCATCGCACTCCATCAGCAGCCACTATTCAGTCAAACAGTGCGCGAATCATCTTCGCAACTGCCTCGCCAAACTGGCTGGCGAGTGTACGCGGACGAATCAGTCAAGGCCTTGTGCTTGCCATTGGTCCGCATCTTTTTCTTGCCAGACACTTTTGTGAGTGGCGAAGCACCTGTGGTCTGACCCAGGATAGCACGAGCTTCCTTGCGGGTCATTAAAACGAATGCAGACACGATATCTTGGCTGACATTGGAAACTAGAAACATAGGCTTCAAAGATTTCCACCCAAAATCAGCACCATATGTTATGTAGCGCACTCCGCCATTCGCGATCATGCTCTGACGGAGCGATGGGAACCTGTACAAGTGCGAGGACATCGGGTTCTCTATCGTCCACCTCACACCTCTTGCTGCACACACTGAAGTCATATATGCTATGCAACGGGCACAGGCGTTCGCTTCGCGAACATCCTTCCTATTGGTGTTGCCAACGAAATTGTTCGACTCTTTGCGGCACATGCAAACAGCACTAATGAAATTCAGCCACGTCGAACATGGAGGCGCAAACCAAATCATCCCACCCTCGGCAACTGATAGCACTAAGATGCCAGCCCAAATGAATCCGTGTATTGTTGCCATGTCTTGTCCTGGATGCAGCTTTCTGTCGAATGGTGCCCCTCTTAGCCCTTTGCGCCAACATGCGTTACTCAACTCGCATTCTCCTGCAACGGATTCGCAGAAATGCAACTGCCTCAAGCGGTCGGGGAAAACAGCAATGTATTGATCAATCGCTTTCGTACCAACTTCGATCAACTTGTCGCCATGTGTCGGGTCACACAATCTCATTGTTGGAATCGTATTCGAAAATACCACTAAGTTGATAATATCTGATGGCGGGCCTTGCTTGAATATGGATGGCACAGGTGCAGCAGCGCCAACGTTAGCAAGAAGCGCAACGACAATAAATGTCATGCGCCTGGTGCTAGTCATAAGCTGCGGTGCCGAAAATGTATCGATCTAGACCTAGAGATCCTATGAGACTAAATGCTGCGAGCGCCCTCTCTTGCAAACGGAGCGCCTGCGCCGCCTGAGCTACCTGCCTCAGAACCATGTTCAAGGTTTCGTCTGTCCACACTGCATGCCACTTCGGCGAACCCTGGAACTGAATCCTGCGAGGGGGCCTTGCGATAACGTGTCTTGTTATTACACCTGCTACTGTATTAACCTGAGGCGAGTGTTCGTAGCTCTTCAAATTGCTTCCAAATCCCACCA